AAAATCCAACAATATTTCCATTTGGCACCTTAACTGTACTGCATATTCTCCATTCCAAGTTCCTGTGCTTAAATGAGCATTGGGACCTAATAGGTCATGACAGATTTAATAATACATCTAATTTAAGGCCACACCAATTTGTAAAATAGTTCTTCGGATTTTCAAAAATAAAAAGTGAGGCGAGCGAGCGAAATAATTTTACAAATATTATTTTTCATTTCGGGTTTCAAAATTATGAGGCGAGCGAATATAATTAATACAGGTGGCAAAATTTTCTAAGTTCTCTTTTTCCTATTATTTTTTCTGGGAGAGAAAACGTTTTCTATGCACTCATAAGATGTGAAAACGCGCCTTACTTTTGTTTCTCGTAACATTGCAATTTAGACGTAGTTTCATTTCTACAAATTTTCTGTTTAATTCTTTGCAAATTGTTAAGGTCATGTCAGGTTTCAAAATCACAATTGCATCGCTTCTTGAATTTTCTTTAATTTTTATTGAACAAATATGGTCAATATTTACTTAACCTTGTGTATATTTTTCATATGTTGATGATATTCTCTTTATAGTTTCATCAAACAAAGCTTCAAACGTCTCCTATGCTTCCATTTCTATTGCTGTGTATGGAACTACTTTGTACCCATTGTTTTTAACTATAGTACACAGAGGTGTGCAATAAAAAAAATCAAGTAAGTCAATCAAAGTTACTAGCCCCAAGTAAAAAGTTACTAGCCCAAATAGAGGGGCAAAAATTAAAATAAATACTAATTAATGTTGAGAAGAAATTAATTGCTGAAAAAGTCAGGGTACTGAGGTCATTCTTTCTAAAATTAAAGTTAAAAGTTCTCACTATCAATATAAATCATGTATAAATTATTATGAAAGAAAATTAAAATGAATTTAAATAAATTATCTTTCCTTTTTCTGATCATTGCACTAGCTCATTTAGAATGAAATTAAATTCATTTTGTTTTCATCTTAAATCATTAAATACACTAGAAATATATTTTATGTAAGTCACAAAACACTTATTTTTCAGTTGATTGAGTGATCGTAAATAATTTAATGAGATATCTGTATGTATTTACCATAAATGGAGGAATAGAGGAAATTCGGATTAGGAAAAAACGATCGTTTTTGGAAGTAAATAGTCAGATAGAACTGTAAAACAAATAAGATTATGGAGATTTATTGACAGTCGGAGCATGTTGTCTGGAAAATTTTAACTGGTTGGGAATTTTATAGCAAAAAAATGAGTGAAAATACCGATTGTGCTTGTCATGTATTGCGTGTGTAGTTAAATTTTTCACTAGCCCGACGGGATTCCTCCTTGCAGAAAACCACTAGCCCGACCCGCAAAAATGGTAGCCCCGGGCGTCGGGAGATGCTAATTGCTCACCCCTGGTACATACGAACAGTTACACAGGCATCGTGCAAAACTTCACAAACTGTTACAAACATTCTAAATCCCGCGCTTCTGTCAAACAAGTTTCCAAGTCTTTTGTGCGTTTTGTGTAAAAAGTCGAAAAAAAAAATTGTATACGGATATTTTGGACGCGCGCGCGGATTTTTTTTTTTATAATATTATAATTTGGATTTGTTGTAAATAGAAGCGGCGAATCCGACGAACTATATTAGAAATTGGTATGGCCTAATTTATTTGAAACAATCACTGAGGCAAACATATTCTTTAACTAGTAATTTCCTCTGTAATGGAAAGAAAAGTGCTTTTAGATTTTCATATTAGCTTAAATATCATTCTTCTCACATATGCTATATATCAATGTGGAAAACTCCTATTATTAGTCCCCTACAGGTGAAACTGGAGGGAACTATAGGTTTCCTCCTTGTCTGTCCATCTATCTATCTAGCTGTCCATCTGTCCGTCAGTCTGTCCCACTTTGTTTTTCGCATTTTGACTCTAAAGGCTTGCAGCTATTATGCTGATTTTTGGTACATGAGTGTATCTTGAGGAGTTACAGATCCAAGTTTGCATTTCATTCCACTTCGATGATTTTTGATGGAATTACTACCTTTTTAATTTTTAAGGTTTTTCTGCACTTTTTTTCTAAATGCTTGTAGATATTGAGCTGATTATTCGTGTGTGAGTCTACCTTGATGAGTTACAGATCAAGTTTGCATTTTGTTATGCTTCAAAGATTTTTGATGGAATTACGGCATTTTCAATTTTTAATGGGAACCAGATTACACTTTCCTGTAGGGGATTTGTATTGCTAATACAATACTCTCAGAATGCTTGTTTTAGCAGACCTTATACAGAATGTTTGTGCATATTTCTATTACCCATGCTCTTCCATCTTCCAGCACACTTTTTTGTCATTTCTCCTCCTCCTTCATTTTCAGAGATAGTCAAAAATTTCTCTTTGTATTTGATTGGTTTGGTCCTCTATAATACAATAAGGCTATAAAATTTCAATTTTGGCCCTATGCAGGAACCCAAATAGGTAAAAAAAAAAAATAAAAAAAAAAAAAAGATTAAAATATTAATGTTGTCATTGGGATTTCTTCTGATTTTAAAGTGATAGTAAAAATCTCTCTTTGCCTGTGATTGGCAATTTGTTGTAGATGTAGATGTGCAATAAGGTTTCAGAACTCTGATCCTTGCCCCACTCCCCTAGGACAGAAAGGCTGAAGCTCATATAAAATTTGTCATTAGAACTCTTTGTATATTTTGGTGTATAGAACATGATTCTATTATGGAAAAAGAAATATACTATAAAGGAGATGAGCTATAATGTTTTGGATGTTGTGAATCACATAGAATTCTAGAAATAGTAATCAGGTTAAAATCTTTTAGCACTGGTTTATTCCAAGTAGCTACCCTTCCTGTGCTAACCAAATGAAGCCAGGGTACCCCCCTTCTCTGAGTATAATCTTATGCTATAGTAATCTTTCATTTAGATGCTGGTCCCCCTCCCCCCTCCCCCCAATAGGATTTTTGAGTTTGGACAGTTAATTTATTTTTTTTTGCTTCTCAGATGTTTTGGGAAGGTTGCCCCCCCCCCTTTTTAAAAATGTTGCTAACTTGCTTATGATGGCATTAAAGATTACACAGTCTATGTTGAGGAACTTCCATGGTTATAAGTCTTAAGTCATTAAAATATTACAGTGTATGAGGTTACTGTATCTAAAGAAAGATTCTGAAAATTATATGAAAATCAGGTTATCATATCTCAAACAACTTGATTTTTTTATGCTTGACACAATATTTCTGTATTCCAATTTCAAGTATGGAGTGAATTACATGTAATAATCAACTTCCTCATTTCAAATTTCATACTTCTGCAAGAAAGTTGTATGAAGTGTGAATAAAAAACAACAGGTTCAGGACAAAAAGAATTGCTCCCAATAACCCCCCCCCCCCCCCGTTTAAAACATGCCAGGTTCTATAGTATGTCTTATGTTAGTGCAATGTGATATTCATGAAGTTCCAATTTTTTTTAATAGGTTTTTCAATGTAATACATAGTTATAATTATGTCGGAAAAGTCGAACAGCGACGGGATATAAAGTGGAAGGTGGATTCTTGTCCCCAAAAATGTTTTATTTTTTAACAATAAAAGCCAAAGAAATTGTTCATCAAAATATTTAGAAATTAACATTTTATGCGTTCAGATATGTCGCCAGGTTTCCGAAAACGGGGGCGCGGAGAGGGAATCTCAGTATTTGAGTCATTTTTTAATTTCTAAAATGGGGACCATTTCATGGGTTCTGGTGCGTCTTGGGTATTTTTTTTAATCTAAAATAAACAAAATGAAGCAAAATATAGCAACATTACTTTAAACATGCAGAATTTATTTGCTTTCAAAATATTTATTTTATTTGGATTTTTATTTTCGAGTGTTCTTTTTTCTCGAAAGGTGGTGCGATCGCACTTTCCGTTCCGACGGCCTTGGACTCGTGTCCTTGAATAGCGTCATAAGGTACGATGACCGCAACTACTTGTGATGAGGAACTTAGAAGTATATATACAGTATCTTTCCTTAAGAGAACAAGATCTGGTTGAATCATTGGTACTAGATTCAAATTCACTACAACCAATTTACATTAGAGTATAAAACAAGATTTTTGAGAAGAAGAATCGGTGCCTACCACTTCAATTAACTTGATCTAAATTCTTTTTTTTTTTTTTTTTTTTTTTTTTTTTTTTTTTTTTTTTTTTTTTTGGTCTTTAATAATCAGAGAGGGGAAGAAAATTAACGAAAGCTATCAAGGGTTGTCCCGCTTAGGTATAAATTTAAAAGGGGGGGGGGTGTATTCATATGTTCTTCAAATACATTTTAACGTCTTGTTAAATTTGTTGTCCAGATACACCATTGTCACAAAGGATTCTCGATGTACTATAGTATTGTAGCAAACAGTATTATTATTTTATATCATTTTACCAATGTTTACTCGATTTTATAAATAAATTCATGTGATATCATATATGTAATTAGATATAGCTCGTAATTTAGCGTTTTTGACATTAATGCTCTTTTATTTAAAAATGTAAGTGTTTTGTTTCTCTTAACACTGAAAACACACCTTTAAAATCTCAACTTTCTCTTTTTGCTCCGTTTCTGTGCTTATGAAACCAAATTGGACGTTTATCCCCCGAATGAGTATTTTTAAAAAAAAAAGTTTTGAGACTTAAAAACTTACACGTTCACTTTCCATTTATCGTCAATTTGTTTTCCAACACTTTAGCATTTTAAAAACTTGTATCAATTCCTACATTCTTATTATATCTTCTTAATTAAAATGATTTCTCGTGAATGATTTTAAATTTTAATCAAATAAATATGAAACATTAATTGGTCCTCGCTAAATTAAATCTGATACCGAGTTTTATAATTCTTGCAAATAGATTTATGATATGCAGTATAAGCACTCGGAACTTCTCTTTATTTAACTCGACAAAGAAACATTTATGTGGACTTCGTTCACCGAATTATAAAAGTTTGACATTTAAAATTGTTCAAGGGAAGTGAATTGTTACCTGCATGGGGATCTAGAGACTGCGGATCCGCCATTTTCATACACCGTACCCTAAAACTTGACAACTTTCGTCCTGTGGATTATTTTCCCCGTTTTTAACGTGAATTTTACTATGATTAAGACAGAAATGTGGATAACTTGTATACATTAACTAAACTAGGTAAGTGTTAGTGACAAATACTAAAAATTAAGCTAGAATTTTGATCAAATTAGGTTTGAAGCGCGGCCCAGGTGACTGACGGGTACCTGAGTGACATAGTTGTGTATTGCAGAAAATCGATGAGTATTGTTTTGATGTCATGGCTTAAGAATATAGCAGTTTTCTTTTCAAATATTTTTTTAAAAAAATTAAATTTCATTTTTCAGCATAAAATATTAAATTTTTATCATTTATTATTTGTGTTGTGATGACGTGTGACGTAAGATGGGGGCGGAGTTAACGGTACCCCAGGATCGGCGACACAGAGCTTCCTGTGGCAATACACACTTTGTTTCCAAAAACAATAGTTTTTCTTTCACTCTGTTCAACAAGATTGAAAGTAATTTATTAAGAATATATTTTCCGCTGTGTTGAATAAATAATATTGAACATGTTGAATGGAAAAGTATTTTATTATGTAAATTTTGCAATTATGTTCACTATTAGGTATGATAATTTTTAACGAGTATTGCAATATTCTGAAGTTGAAGTCGGATAAATACGAAAAACTGAGAGTCAATATCCATGCACAAAATAGCATTAGACATTTTATATTAATAAGAACATGAAATTGAAATGTATTAAAATCACAGGATGCATTGAAAAAAAAAATTAAAAGAGGAAAAAAGAAATTAAAAAAAAAAATAACTTGCAAATTACAGAATGAATAATGATGTTTGATATTCAAATGCAGTATCAGTTGATAACCATGTCTTTCTCCCAATTTTTATGAGAACACCCCAATATTTAATATGTAGATCCAGATATATATTTATTTTTAACTTAAAACTTGGGATTAAAATGAAAATTCTAAAATTAATAGTCAATAGATTAAGGTATAAAAAATTAATAGTCAATAGATTAAAGTATAAAAAATATTATTTGATTAAAGCTAATGTTTTTAGACAAATAAATTAATAATTCTTGCTAAATTCTTTACTAACAAAAGGGTTGAAGAGAGCCCTGTAATTCCAAATTAAAGAATCATACATGTGTTCTTTCATTATTTTACTCCAGGGAAGAGACCAACTTATATTTTTAATTGGATTTTTTGATTACTACAATGCATGAATTGCAGAAATTTTTAGTTTTTTGATTGATACTGTAATAAGGAATTATATACTATCATACAGTCACCTGTTTTTTATGGAAACCAGATAATTAGTGTTTTAGCTGGATATTTCTGTCAAAATATGTATGAACTTCCTTTATTTTTTTTTTAAATTTATTTTAATAATTTGTAGAGTTTGTTTTATTTTTATCTATCATTTGGTTTTATTGCAATCCAAATGCTCTAGAACACCTATTCTTCATACAACATGTAAACTATTATTGAATTGTTATTTAATATACTTATTCCATGAATGAATCAGTCAACACTACACATTTTCTGTAGTGTTTTCTTTGAAGATTAAAATCATCCACAGGTCCTGTTTAATTATAGAGGGACAAGCACCTGTTTTTTGTGGGAGGTGTGACTCCCCCTCATTGAAACCCTGAGTCACGCCATAGGACAAAGTGTTGATTCATGTTCACTTAAATATTAAACAGGCAAACTTAAATCAGTTAATATTATAAACTCTAAAACATTAAAACTGGCAAATATATAATTGTTGCTTGTCATTTATAGAACAATGAACGGGCTAAAATCAAACATTGGAGGAAAGAATGGACGACAGATGCAGCAGGGTACAGGTGCCATCCCCACCCTGAGGATACAGGCCGACACCCCTGTACCCCGGTCAAATGGAAACACACCCATCCCCAGTAAAACTGACAAAGTCCAGCTCCCAGCATTATCGAATACCCCACGCATTGTACAGCAAGGCAAACCATGTGCTCAAACTACTCCACGCATCCCGCACCCAAATCAAGTCGGCTACTATCGCTATGGAAATAAAACTGGTGAGTTGTTGAATTTAATTGTAATTGAAAACGACCGTATCAATCCAGACAGTGGTTAATTATAATGAGATAGTTTTAAGATTTGGAAAATCCATTCTTCAGTATCTGAAGGTGTTTAACATGAGCAAGAAGAAAATCTGTAAAGAACTTTGTATGAGGAAAAGAATTCAGTATTGGATATCCATAAGCTATATATTTATGTTCTTATCTGAAATGACAGAGCCCAAAGTTTCAAAATGCAAATAACCATTTATTTCAAGGCCCATATATTGCTCACAGAAGTACCATATAGATGTTATTTTCTTCCATTATATATGGGTAGATAGCGAACCAAAAAAAAAAAAAACAAGTTCAATAAATCATTATTAGATAAGGTACTCTTTATGTCCAACCCTTTAAGTCATTTCAATTCATAAAAAAAAAACTTTAATTTAATTTCACACCAACAATGTCAACGCTGTATAGATAATTTAGAAAACATGTTTCCTTTTCACACAAATTCTGTCCGCAAACTGGGCCAATACAGATTGAGAAAAGCCAACTCATTTTTTTTTTTAAGTCTTGGTGCTGGTTGAATTGGGGCTTTATGTTCTTCGATATATTTTTCTAAACATTAACTATGAACAGGATGTGCTGGGTATGTGTATATTACAGGCGTATGACGTCTTCACTCGTAGGGAATTCGCCATATCAGACCTTGGAACAGCTAAGAAAGTTGGCATTTCTCCCAGAGTCCTGGTCTTTGTAGTGGCTTTACTCATTTCAGCTACAAGAGCTATTAAAGTTTCTGTCCTGGTTTATCCACCGTCATAAAGATGAGAGTTTTTAGGAAGCACGGCTCCTCCTTAAATGGGCAGATTTTTAAATTTCCCTTTGATATCCATGTAATGTTCCTCACAGACGTAAAAACTCATTGGAATAAATTAGAAACTAAGTTACTTTTTCATTTAAATTTTGTATACTCCATAAATATTGGCTCTTATTGGAATTGAAAATGGCCATATTTCTGGTATTAAACTGATTTAGTAAAGTGAATATGTTTGATGATTTCTTCTATGAAAAAGCGACCAACTTGAAATTTCTATTCATTTTGATATAAAGTACATGAGTGAAATTTATTTGTGTTTTATCTTTTCTCTTGCGAGTGTTCAATTTAATATCTTCACACAAAAAGAGAAAATGATAATTTTCCTGATATTTTGTTTATCATTAAGAGCAGATACACAAGTGTATTATTTAAAATCAACTCTAGAGTAGTTATTTAATGACTTCTTATTTGCAGTTTTATTATTTTTTAATTGACTTTTCAAAAAAACAGATTTAGCAAACCCTAAGCAAACAATAGATGCTTAAAATACAAGCACATTTTTTATAAGAAAATAAAGTTTTGTGTCATTTTGATTTGTAGCAAAAAATTGAATTTAAAAATGAAGATACCAAGCTTTGTAGATAACAATATAGTGTAAATCACTCTGTGTGCAAGTTCAAACATTTGACAGATTCCTTGGTTGAAATTAAATGTGATTTGCTATATTGATGGCAAAAATTTAGGTACTTTGAATTGGGTCTCAAACATTTGTCACATGCTACTGTATAAGGGGAAATTTTTGCTTCAGTTTTATTTTTCGCCATCAAATGGACGAGTTTAAAATGGGACAAATTCAAATACAGCAGTTACATATGTATCTCATTAACACACTGTGTCTAAGCTTTAAAACACTGTTTCTAAGCAAATTTAAAATGGGGCAGTATGATATAAAACTATTAACACTGGACAGAAATACCCTGTATTCAATGTTAGCTGATACATGTAATTCTATGAAGTTTTTAATATGGCAAAATATTTATACTTTTACATTTTACTTCATAGATCTCAATGGAATGGGACCCATGTGCTTTGGCATCAATCAACGCAAAGACAAGAGCAACATGGGCCACAATGTTGCTTGCATGCAGCAGCAGAATTCAAATCTTCATGTTCCTAATAGAGGATTAGAGAATGCCACCCCCACCCCTAGTGAGGTGTCTGACATTATCACTCCTAGAAACGGGGACATGACCCCCAAAGTGGAGCCTGGCACTGCACCATATCACAGTGGAACAAATAATGACAAACATGTTTTTCTGGAACCACTTCCTGTCACTAAGCAGGAATGGAACCCATACAAACCACTGGGCCACATTCAGACCTCTGTACAAGGATCTGTCCATGGGAGTGAAGCTGACAGAAATTCCCTATCCCAGGGTATGAACAGCGCAGCCACCGTGTCTCTGTCTCCATTCCAAAACATGGAGATGACTTCTCCCTCTGGATCACAGTACACAAGCCCACGACACTCTGCTCACAGAATGCATGGAACTAAACGAGCCCTCTCTATCTCACCCATCGGGTCTGATGGCATGGACCTGTACTCTCTGATCAGGACCTCCCCCACATCTTTGGTGGCCTACATCAATGGATCAAGGAGCTCCTCCACCAGTGTGTCCCCCCAGCCAGGCCTACAACATGGACACTTTGGTCATCTTATAGCACACCGGACACAGAGGTGCAGCACAGGAAGTCCCTTTTCCAGTTCTGGCTCCTCCAAGAACCGCATGAATCATACGCCAATGAGCACAGCCTCTGGCTTTAAGAGGGAAACAGAAGTTGGACTCCATGAGAATCTTTCTGACATATTTCCGGATATTGTCAGTAACCAGGTGGTTGTACAGCAGAGTGAGATACCATTCCTGGAACAGCGTGCCATGCAGGACATGCAGATGTACCACAGTGGGGCACGATCCACCACCTCCACCCACTACCCCCCACCCACATACAATCAGGCTGTCGGCCAACAACCAACACCTATTAGCATGATGCCTCCACCCCCAGCTCCCAGCATGCCCCCTCCATCGTGCATGTCCGTACCCCCTCAGCCCCTGGCCCAGCACAATACAAATGCTGCTAACATGGTGAACAATAACTCATTAATGAGTGAGAACAGTTACCTTGGTAACAGCATGCCTCCACCCGAAGATGGAGAGGTGGATGAAAATGGAGAAAAACAAAATATATGCAAGTGGATAGACTGTAATCAGATGTTCAAAGAACAGGATGAGTTAGTGCGACACTTGGAAAAAGCCCACATTGACCAACGGAAGGGCGAGGATTTTACGTGTTTCTGGTCTGGATGTCAACGTAGATATAAACCCTTCAATGCCAGATATAAACTCCTTATCCATATGAGAGTGCACTCAGGGGAGAAACCCAATAAATGCACGGTAAGTTACTTTTTTTCTATTAAATGATGACATGTTTGGAGTAATTGAGGAAGTCAAGAATTTAGTTCTATTATTCATAAAGTTTGATAGTGGGAATGTCATTTAAATCTTTTTTTAAATCTTCATATAAATGCAAATCATGTTTTAAATTAACTTTTGGGAGGATAAATGCATGTTTTGTTGTTTTAAAATAAAAGAACAGAATTATGCATAAGGGCATGCAGTGCTTTAGGTAACAATATATATCTTGGTGTTTGCATTTCTAAATTCTATCTATATTTAATATCGAGTGAATAGGTGTATGTGTTTGAAATTGGAAATTGCAGGAGTAATCGGAGAACGAACATCAGTCAAGATAAACTGGAGATTTTATTATTGAATTTTGAATATATTTAAAAAGGTGAAATGAATTCTGATTTGACAGTTTCCATTGTTTGGGATTTTATTGTGTTTTGGAATTAGCACTGGTGTCCTGTAACTAGATACCATTGTCTTCAGTAGAAAGCTGAAGCGGCTCACTCCAGACGAAATCCTGCATTATTCCGTTATTGTCTGTTTTCTTCTATTCAGTTCTGCTCTGTTGGAAGGTGACATGAAAAAACTGTCACTGATTTTATACATTGTTCTGATCACTGAAAATGTGTCCGATTTTAATCAGACCAGTAATCCTGGTAATTAATATGTAACTTAAATCTCACAAATATAACAAAAGCTACAACACTGTCTGACTCATACACCAAATACACATTTTGACAGCATGCAATGTCAAGGTTGGGAAATGTCAGAAAAAAGATGTTCTGCACTGAACACAAACTAGGGGTTAGGGAAATGATGACATAAACGTAACATTGTGTACTACAACTGGTAAATAATACATTGAAAATAATTCAGTTTCGATTTCGGAACTGCCAAGTATGCAAGTCCTTGGGAGAGAAAAATAAGCAGGTTAATTATGCCCTTAAAAAGAAAACTTAGAAAAGCTATTTGTAGTCAGAAAGAAAGAAGGATAGAAGGAGAAAAAGGAAGAGTCGTAGGTTTCTGGTGAGAAGGTTTGATTGTGTGGGGTGATAGTGGCCAGAATTAAGGTAATCTAGCTCGGATCAATGCAGCCTTTATTTGGCAGATTGCATTCCTGTTCTGTCAGACCAGTGTGCATAGAGGTACAATCAATATCGGCACTCTTTCTGTCAATACTGGATGTGTTTATCCAAGTCTGATGCCAAGGATAAGTCACACAATATCAAAGTCAGTCTACATAACAAGGAATAGGTCTATGGCAGGTCTTAATCCAAGACATGGACATGACCTTTCCAAAAAGGAAATAGCAGTAGAGATCCAAAAATAAATACATGACTTAATTATTAGAAATTTTTAATATTAATTTATTGTTTGAAAAAAGAATAAAATATTTATTATGAACATACTTCTTTTAATTTTTTATGATTTTTTTTTTTTTGGGGGGGGGGGGGGGGGGTATTAAACTATTAAGCAGACTTAAAAAAAAACAAAACAAGGACATGTAATAATAACTCATCTTTTCCTCATATCATGTCTTGGAATGATTTGCAATTTCAAAAGTAATCCTAGACAAAGATATTAACAAGATATTTTATGAACAGTAGGAATTTTTTTTATGGGGCTTGAATTAAATTCAAATTTTGTAAAGATTGCCCATGTTGCATGATGACCAAGAACTAAGGAACATGTCCAACTTTTAAATACATAGAAAAATAATTTGTTATCACTTTAATTAGATGCCAATTAATGAAGATAATGAGGAGGAATTTGACACCTATACAATAAGAATCATCTGACCATGAATGTAGCAGCGAATCAGATTAATCCAAAACAATGCTACTGTCTTAAATCAGGGGCTTGAACTTTAACTAAACAATGGTTCCTCACAGCCAACTGTGCTGGCAAGCACACTTTTATTATAAAAGTACACAGACCTTGATTAATTGTCCTACACATTATCAGATATAAAGAGGTTTGTAGACATGGGTACGGAAATAGGGTCTAAACTCAGGTACAGGACTTTACGAAATCAAGACCCACATTTTTCCATGTAAAGCAGGGTCCAGTTACACATAAGTCAGACTTTGCAATATATTTTACAAGCTAGGAGTAAAACTTTAAAGTTTGTTGCATATCAGTTTTTAATTGTATTTTGCCTGCATCCCAAATGGAAAACAATTTTAAATGTGGTTAACAAGAAATCACCCAGAAGTATTGTGTGAGGATTCTTAGTCTAATACGATTTATGTTTTTAGTTTGAGGGCTGTACGAAGGCATTCTCACGACTGGAGAACCTCAAAATACACCTTCGATCTCACACTGGAGAAAGACCTTACATTTGTCAGCATGCTGGCTGTGCCAAGGCATTCTCAAACTCATCAGATCGAGCCAAACATCAACGCACGCATCTCGACACGGTGAGTAGTGCTCAAAATACAAGATATTTTTACCTGCTTCTAGAACAGCCAAGGTTTGAAGGTTGAGGTAAATAGTACAGTGGTTTAATACCTTGAAATAGAGAATCATGCAGTCAACCTATAGCCCATCTCTAACACTAAGAATTATATCAATTAAGGGAAACAGGAATTTTCTCAATTATGGCAAAGAGGATTGAATGGAGCCACAGTAAAGACTTCAGATGCTTTCATTGGCGTTCATAAAACTTTTAAATTCTGCAGACCAAAACTTCTGTATGTCTAACATGCAAGGATTCCATAGTAGTAAATATTCAGACATATCAGTTTTTGAGTGGTAATAAATAGGAAAAATCTTTCAAAATGTCTTCAACTAGACAAGCAGGGCTAAAACAGAGGTGTGTATTGCAACTAAAATCCTACTTGTGATTAGCTGCAGAACTGTAGCTCTCTGGGACAGAAAATTCAGACCATCCATTGTAAAACCTATTTACAGCGAGCATATATGCACTCTCCACTTCAAGCATATCCAAGAATTTGGTTGTCATTTCCAATTCACTTCAACATGTCCTTTGTATTTAAGATATCAATGTTCATGGTATTGAAGTTCAACAGTATTAAATTGCAATATTAACCCCTTGTTAAATTAAAAGAAAGAGAAAACATCAGAACAGCACAAACTAAGAATCAGGAGATGCTAACACAATATATCACTGGCATTTTCGTTGGTAGACATTTTGATGCTTTTTCTGTAATTGTAGAAACCATATGCTTGTCAAGTTGCTGGATGTACCAAGAGGTATACGGATCCGAGCTCACTACGCAAGCATGTCAAAAATCACAATCAAAAGGATGGGTCAGTTAAAAAGAAGGTGAGGTCATTTACTCACATTTCACTTCATTTCAGCATTGTTAAACATCACAGAGGAAACTAGAGTTACAGTTTACTTGCTTATTCAGATAGAGATGCTATAAAATTTGTAAAATTGTGTGAAACAGGATGTAACTTTACTGTCTCTTGTTACTGAGAAAATGTGCTGGATATATGCACAGTATTTTTACACTGAGAGGTTTTCATGAAGGGGAAAAAAGGGCATACATCTTTGGAAGTCTTCCTCTTTACCTGGACATTAAGCAGGGAATACTGTATACAGGGTTATTTTTGCCCTTTGATACTTGCAAAAAATTCGCCCCATTTGAAATGTGCCCACTAGCAATGAGGGTGATAACAAAGCGGGGGCAAAAATTTTCCTGTATGCAATATTGTTTACATAATCATAATGAGCAGATAACTTGTTAGCTAAGCAATGAAATTCATGTTTCTGGGGTCCAGGAGTCTGACCCCAGGTTAAGGCTTTGGTGGCCATGCATTGAAAAAACAGTAAAACTGTGAAAATCTTCCTCTTTCTTGTGGACATATGGCAGAAAAATTGTTTGCAAATAAGCCTATTTATTCAGCAAAATTGTGTAAGTTGATTCATATTGGTTCAGGCCCCAGGGTAAAGCTTAGAGGGCCTCTTGTTTTTCATATGGTGTATTTGATACATACAATTATCTTGCATGGTTTGTAAATTCAGATTTTCCTCTTTTTTTCCTTTTTTTTGACTTTGTTTCCAGTAATTAACACTTTCATCAATTGTGTTAGTTTATTAGATGGTAAATATGAATAATTTACGTTTTCTAGATTAGATAAATTAATGTAAGAGAATTCAACAACTTTGACCTGTGTGTTTTTGATGTTAATAGTTTCCCAGGTGAGCTTTATGCTCTACAGGCCACCTTTATGTATGTGCTTGTGATGAGGTGCAGATTTTGACAATGTCTTTCCTTTTTTATCTATTTCCTGTATTAGCTCAGCAGGATTCGGGATTAAGTCGTACCTTGTATTTGACATTGAACAACCATGGTTAGGAATGTCAGTACACATGACTGTTTTGTATAAATATAGTTTGACATTATTGACTTAGGCACAAGATGAAATGCTTGTGATTGGTTTTTATTTCCTATCAGTGACGGAGTGCGGGACAGCCAAATAAGATTGAATTGAGTATCGGAGGCGAGCCTTCACTGTTTACATTGTAGATTTCACAACCAAAGCCAGCTGTATATTTACTGTGTTCTCCTCAACAAAAGATATTTTAAATACCAATACACTAGAATATTGCCCGTAATTGAGGTGTGAGCGGGTGCATTGGACAATAGGGAGCAGAAGCAAACTTGTTAACTCTTTAAGGTTCCTGTTAGCAACTAGGCCACAGTTTACAACTCCAAGCCTCAAGGTCACCTTATATTTGCTTACCAAAATTGTCTTATTTTGACCTCAATTCTCTATTAAACATGTGCAAAATTATGAAAAAAAGGTTTACTAAAGGGGAATTTTTTTGGTTTTGCTTTACCTGTGGCTGGGTTATTAATGGGTTAGATTATCAAACCATTGCACAAAAATGCAAAATCATGCTTATCTCAAGTGTTAAGTCAACAAGAGGGTTGACTTATCACCAATTTTTTTTGCCAATTTCAAACATTGAGTTTTCACCAGCAAAACAAAGTTTATCTACAGTCATGTTTAAAAGTGTATGTGGCCTAAATAGTCCTATTTATGTTCCTTGTATGTGTATTTAGCACCCACATAATAACATAGATACAAGATTACCTAATGAAGAAGTAATCCTTTATGAAACAACAAGCAAAAATACAAAACAAAAACAGGTGGTTACTTTACTAGTTACTGTTATCAGAGGAAATTTTGCCCCAATTGTCTTTTTGCCCCTTTTGCTCTTAACACAAGTAGGCAAATTTAAATGGGGCAAATTCATTGAAGACAGAATTATCTCTTTAGCACATCTTTATCTGATTGAGTTTAAAAATAAAACAGAATCATTTGCAAGTGTGATAGGGCTTAAATAACCCTATACAGTATTTTATGTAGATTGTGTATAGACAGATAAATATTTGGTACTGATCCATGTTTTAGAATATTTGCAATGATTATAATAAGGCTAGCATTTCCTAGACTTGCAGAGAACTTCAAACATTACATATTTTACAGATACATGTATGTAGAAAATAATTTAAACAATAAGGTGAAAAAACAAGAATACTTACTGTGATTTTTTTGCTGTGAGTTTGTACACTAGTGTTGTAATTGTTTAACAGTTGAAGAAGGAGAATGACTTGGGAGGAGTGATGTTAAATGACTGTCTCCAGGTCCAACAGATGCAGCTCGAACAGATGCAGCAGCCTCCCCCGGAGACTGTGGACATGCGGGGCCTGGTGACAGGGCCAACAACGGACCTCTACTCAGGTAAGAAATAAAAAGTAACCCAAAATTAGAGAGGGGGGATACAAAGTAACCCAAAATTAGAGAAGAGGGGAGCCCACCACAGACCTTTACTGTGGTAAGAGACAAAAAGTAACCTAAAACATAATTACAGGGGGAGGGGGTGAAGGAGCTCATCACAGACCTTTACTGTTCAGAGACAAAAAGTAAACCAAAAAAAGGTTAGAGAAGGGGAGAGCCCACCACAGACCTTTACTGTGTTAGGAGTGATAACCCAAAACATGTAGGAGGTTGAGGGGAGGGGTCACCAGGGCTTGAGTACAGATCTTTTCAGTTTAATATAGGTTGCTTTATGATTCCCTATATGGGTGGAACTAAATCTCTGATAGTGTACTTCACATTCAATAATTTTGCTTGACTGTGACTATCCTATGTTCAGTTTCTGTTCTATAAATGTTATGAAATAGGTATTTATAAGTCTGAATACTGTACTTGTCTTAATAAATGTAATTATTTATGTTGCTAGTTTTAAGTTTTCTCAACATGCATAAAAAAAATATGCACTTTAAAATAATTTAAAATTTTGGTAATAATTTTTTTTTAAGAGGGGGGGGGGGGCAACCCCCTCTTTTTATGAATGTGTCATCATCACCCATTTTTCAGCTAGTCCTGAGTTTACTGGTATATTGTAATTTACTTTGGAGATTAACATTTGTTTGATGTCAGCACTGAATAAAATAGCTGGGTTTAAGTAAATATTATTAAGAAGAGGGATTTAATGTATAATTAGGGCACACCACAGGTAAGAGAAATTAGTTCAAATCATAGGTGAAAAGATTCACATTTTGTGGATGAAAGTTAACTATTTTGTAGTTACTGCCTGAATAAACGCCATATATTTTTAAAATATATCAGTTTCTAGATGTTTACAGATCACATCAAAATAATATGTTTTAAATTGAACACAGCCAAGTAGAAGTTTTGTAGAATAATATTGCTATCAAGATGTTTTTTTTTTCCTCTTTCTTTTTCTTGTCAAACCTCCTTTATTTACCAGAAACTAGACTCGTGGTATTGATATATTGAGTGACAAAGGAAAACTTTATTTTTTAAGTGTAGCGCATGAAATCTACCTGAATCACCAAGTGACGTCAATCATAAATTAAACAATAAATTGGTTCAGGCAGTTAAATGTCACTGAAGCGAAATACCCAATACACAGTAAACAACTTGTTTGTTAAAGGGCCTTGTACTGGGCATGCCCAGACTCGCCCTTCTTTCATTGTGTTACCCTCGGGCTGATCCAACCACTCCCCTGATAAAGATCTCCAATAAAGCACCATTAATCTAATACTGATCATTTAAATGCCATAAAAATACGATCAACAACGATCAGATAATCAGCTACCCGATAATCACACACATCAATATTTATCCGTTATGGCGTATTTTTATTCCGTTCTGATTTCTTTTTCTGTTTTCAAAACATTATTTGGTCTAGAAAAGATTTTTCTTTGACGAAAGATACATTTCCAGACTGGGACTATAAAGTGAAAGCAAAATGGCTTTGCTAGCCCTGGCATTAATGATTTTTTTTTCTTTATCCAGTGGTGATTTGGTCAAGTTCAAATGGACTTTGAATTCAGAGACTTTAGTCAGAAAGTCTTATCAATACAAGCCTTTTGGAATGTCTGTATATTAGATTACTGCTTTGTTGTCACATTCCAAAGAATACTTATAAACCCCAAGGTATACAATATTTATTGATACACAGATATTGGTACTATTTTTACCTGTAGATGGTTTAAAGTCTGACGTAGACTTACATATGTTTTAAATTTATAATCTCACTTTGATTTACATAGAATGTTAAGGGATTTTAAAAACAGGTCCTGGTTTTAGGATTTTTTACATCCCGTGTAAAGAGATATTCTACTGACAAACTCGACAGGTGATGACAGGTATTATTAACAGTTACCTGTCTGCTGTACTAACCCCTCTTACCTGGGTGCACTGTCCCCAGATCTACATCTTGAACGAGATTGTCCATTAAATTTAGCTAAAATTTTCAGATTTTTCCAAGAAACAAATATGGAAGTATTCTTGGTGCTTGTATGTTTAAGAAATAGGAAAGAAATTGAGAAAAGTTATAGATTATTAAGGATTAAATGGAAATACTAGCCACATTTACTAGTTTATTTAAGTTTATGTAAGTTTAAAAATTTGATTTCTTTATGCATTCTGAGGTATCTTTTCTCAGATGATAATTAAATTTTTATAAAATAGTCCTTTCTTTTTCTCGGAAAGATAAGTTATTTAAATCTAATTTTACAATCTGTACACTAATTGTTCTTTGCAACTTAAGTAAACATCCTTTTTTGATTTGTCTTTGAGTTCAAGTTTGTGTGGTTGATTTTTCAGTGGGAGTGAACTACAACAGCGGAAATACCTCAGCCAATCAGTCGCCGGGACCAGTAATGCAGCAGCAGAACAGCCCACTGAATACATCTGGTGGACTCAGCGCTGTGGAGGAAGAAAGGTAACCAATCCCCAACATTAACCAGTCATCAGATCATTGTCCTCATCTGGTTCTGCCCTCACCATGGTACTCTCTCGGTCCTCATCTGGTTCTGCCCTCACCATGGTACTCTCTCGGTCCTCATCTGGTTCTGCCCTCACCATGGTGCTCTGTCCCCTAATCTGGTTCTGCCCTTACGATGGTGCTCTCTTGTTCCTCATCTGGTTCTGCCCTCACCATGGTGCTCTGTTCCCTCATCTTGTTCTGCCCTTACAATGGTGCTCTCTTGTTCCTCATCTGGTTCTGTCCTCGCCATGGTGGCTTGCTGTACTCATTTGGTTCTGCCCTAACCATTGTGCTCTCACTGTCCATTTCTGGTTTTGCCCTAACCATGGTGATCTCACTGACCTCATCTGGTTCTGCCCTCACCATGGTGCTTTTTCTGTATTCTATCTGGTTCTTTGTTTCTAGATATTTTCTAGCTACAGAATTGAAGCTCACTGGTTTGAAGAAATTGGAATGGACAACCGGAGAACAACAGTTCTGTCTCTTTAAAAAAAAATAATATTTATTGCTCACACAAGCAATTGTTTACCATTCAAAGATTATAGTATGTACATGAATATGTAGCTTTAAACTGTCATCTTACCAATGAGTTCCTAACATATTCTTGTACTACTTCTACTAGAAATCATCCCCCACAACTGTTCTTAAAAGCTCTTCTGGGCCTGAAATGAGGAATTGGGAAAAAATTGCCTTTTTATGCTATTAGTTTCTAGTCTAGTTCTGCTCCTTCATGATATTCTGTCTTCTGACTGTTCTGCCCTCTTCACAATGTTCTCTGACTAGTTCAGCCTCCAAAATGACATTCAAGCTGTTCTTTGATTGGTTCTGCCATCTTCACTGTGTTTTTGTTCTCTGACTGGTTCTGCCAATAATGTTCAAGTTGTCCTGAGACTGTTCTGCCATCTTCACTGTGTTCTTGTTCTCTGACTAATTCTGCCCAGTTAAGGTAATGTTTAAACATCCTCTGACTGTTCTATCCTCTTCATTTTGGTCTACGTGTCCTCTGATTTTTCCATTCCCATGGTGATCAAGCTGTCCTCTGTTAGATTCTGTACTTTCATGGTGTTCTAGCTGTGATCAGTATCTTTACTGTCATTTCTAAACGTAGTATTATTTAATGTACTTGGGTGATGTCACAACTGTTTTCTATTATTTACATAATCCATTAGATTTCTTTTAAAAAAAAAAACTATGTGTAATTCACTGAAAACAAACGATGAAGATAAGCACATATTAAACTTGCTAAGAAGAGTGGTACACTAAAGTGGTAGACATTCATCATACTCTTAAAATTCTTTCTTTTAAAAGAAGAGAGAATAACATCACTATTTTGCAATATTTGTCAATTTGCAGATTTGGCACGTTTTCACCAGCACCTCCCTCTACCCAGACCTACAATACCTCACGTCGTCACTTCATCCCCATGCGGACGGGAATGCCTCCGGTTATGAGGGCCCAAATGCATCAACAGATGTACCCCAATGCATACCAGCAGTATATTCAGGAACAAGGTCAGAAATAATTAACTATTTAAAAAGAAAGAAAATTTGGCAATGCTCTAGGAAAAAAATGGATGATCAAAAATGTCTATTGCAGTAAAGGCTTCTTTGGACAAAAACTATGTAAAAATGCTGACACAGATAAAATGATTTGTTAATCACTAATTATTTTCATGAGAAAGGGATCGTTCAAATCATGAAGGCTTACATATGTATTCTTTACATATTTATTACAGATGGACAGTATCGTAACAATATGTACGATCCAGCAAATTATGACAATATGCACAGACTCACAGGAGGTAAAACTGACATTTCTATTTTATGTCAATATAATTTTTTTAAAACTGAATTTTAAATCTTCATATTTGCAAATTTAGAAGTAAGAAATAAGCAAATCAAAGCAAGATGAGAATTTGAATCAGATGCTGTATGTTGCAAGTTATTTGATGCTAATGTTGTATGTTTTAGGAATTGAGGGTCTTCCTGATGAGTTTAACATGTCCCTCCAGTGTGGTGCCGAGGAACAGCAGACACAGCAGTACCTCCAGCACACCGCCATCGATCGCTGCAACAGTCGCCTGTCTGCCATATACGCAGATGGCACTACCTAGTGACGCATAATGGAAATTTGTCATCTGTGATATAGTTTTACTGTCTGTTACGCAATCCAGCAAAATAGTGACAGTTTTTTCTGTGTGTATAATGTAACAGGTGCCCTCCAATCATCTTAGACTACACAAGGATTGACATTTTTAACACTACACAAAGCGTAGTTTTTAGCAACTTATGTATTGTGGCAATAACTCATACTGTTAAGTGCTACCATCCCTGGTTTAACAGAAGTGCTGTATGTTTTGTACTTGTCACACTTGTAAATCACTTCATCATGTCCTGTGATTTTTACCACTGTATGTACATAATCATTGTTCAACATCCACCTGTTTTTGCAACACACTCCTAGGCAGTACTTAACATTTTATATAAAATTTCAGAAGTTAGATTTTTTTTACAAAAGTTATTTTTTTCTTTTTTAAAAGTTTACTAATTTTAGTCCGTCCTGTAGCCTGGAATTTTTTGTTTTTTTCCCTGTGATCCGTCCTCTGATCAGTATTATCTCCCTTCACACCTAATACTGATTCCATTTTACACAGTATTAGATAAAAACAACTGTATTTGTTATGGTACAGGTGTGGTCAAAAGTTAATATCTACTTTTTTTCACATAATCGGAGTCCATATATTAGAGATGTATTTTCAGCACTCCGTCCATTTGCCACACACTGTATAGCCCTTTTACCTGTATAGTCCTCATTTCTTCCTTTCGATCACTTTTCTCTGGTTTCTATTAATATCACATAACACTTTTCATTTGTTTGTATTAACATAATATGTGCCAATCAAATGTGGTATTTATTTAGATTGAGTATCACATAGTCGGCTGCCCCAGTGCCCCTATCTTATTTATCGTATATGAAGTATTTATTTTGTTATCATCATTTTATAGCTGTGATCATCTTGTCAACATCCAGTTGTGTCCCCTGCCAAAGATTCACCCCATACTTTATAATTCACCATCCATTGTTTTGGCCTGTTGCCAATCCGTCCAGATCAAAATGGCCAACATTTTTCATGTTGTCCATGTAAATAGCATACATGTGTAATCATAGTTATGCTTTAGTTGTAATCCCCTTGCCAAAGCCTTGATTTTGGGAACTGTAATTTATACATATATTGACAGAATGAAGACATAAGAGCTATTTATACATCAAATGGTTTTTTTTTTTGTTTGGTTATTTGGTAATTGCAAATGTAACCAAAACTATCAAAATTAAACTACGCGTTTTGATTTTTTTTTTTTCATTTTGTTTGTGAATATTTTATCATGTGATATAATTTGTGTTGCTAGGTAACTAGATCATATATTGGCCAGTCACCTTTGGAGCACGACCATTCTTCCTGGCGACGTATATACCCTGCGGTATATAACTATGATGCACGCGTGCTGCTCTGATGTATTAAGCTTGTAGTTATATGTATAATTATTTACTTTGTAGTAAGTAATATGACCACTCTGATTTTGTTCTTAAAAAAAGGAAATCTTTATTTTTTGACATAAGCAATCATTTAGAGCGTGTTATAAACCACCTGGTGTGGTTGAAGAAAATTAAACAGGAGTAAAATGTTTAGTGGCTACTTAAAAACATTCCACACAATTTCTGGGACGCAGTTTCAAGTATTTGATGTTAATAAGACAGACTTGTTAATGTGTGTGTGTTTTTTTTTAATGTTGGTTTATTTACCTGTATAATTTGCCTTTTCTTTTGAATGCTTTTATTGATAAGCTTTGAAGATTTTACAAGTACTATTTGTTGTTTATTTTACCATCAAAGGGAGACTACTTGTATACAGATAATCGTAGTGTTTACGATAAAATGTCCCTCCTCTCTTCTTGCTTTTCGAAAGGTAACATCAGACTTGTTATGGGAAGTCTGGAACTTCCTAAGTCAAAGGAGAAATACAAATAAATTTTTCAAAACAGCAAGAATTGATAGAGAGGGTGAAGAGAGTTTGAAATGTTGGAGGGCAAAAGCTTTTCAATGAGGCCGGATCATTTAGACAAGCACCTTGCACATTGCAGTTTTAGGATTGGGGTCTGTGTGCATGCAGGAATCATCCTGCCTGGCCCCACCAAGCCAAAACACTTTTGTAAATTAAATCAAAAGATTTTAGCATGCATATGAAGACTGTTTCTTGTTTAAAGTGCCTTATTTGGATGTCAGCTTATATTCTGTTATTTGTTGTTCATTAAATGGTCCTGGAAATTGTATCCTCTGTTATGTTGTTTATTCAGTGACAGAAGTCGAGCTTTATTCACTTAAAAATGTTAATGACACCTGAATTTAGAAACCAGAGACAGAGAACAACCAATTCAATTCATTGTCTTCAAAGACTTTGCTTACTACAGTAGTGTATATCTAGCAGAAAAAGAGCATGCATGATTGAAATGGTGCTAGGGAGAATGGGGAAGCATCTTCTGTAAACTGACATTGACTGCTTTGTTGTGAAACTATTGACCACTAAATTCCTTTTGAAAGGAGTTGTATTTTAGATTATTTGGGTCAGAAATATTTCTAGTAACCTTAGGCCATGCATTGACCAAACTTGCATGACTGATGCATCTGGTGTACAACAGCTTACTGCCACTTTTTCCCTCCTATAGGGCAATGTAACAGAGACAGGTTTGTGCCTCCACTGAACTCTGAAACTCTGGCATGCCAACTGTCAAGTGCTCTACCCACTAACTAACAAGCTAAACCCACTAGCCCATGCTAGTAGGAAGTCATGCATCACACACGATCACATTATCGTCCTCCAGAGTGCCCCCCCCCCCCCCCCCCAAGGCAAGGGAGTGAGTGATATTAGCAATACAGCATATATTATCCAAACTTGCAGAGGTCCTGTTCATGCTACAATTTCCACAAATATTTATATACTGGTACTTGAAATGATGAAATAAAGTGATGCATCCAACTGGAGATAGTCCTCACTTAAACATACCAGTACTGGTAGTTAAGTTGAGCTAATTTTATAACCATTGTTTAAACAAGATTTATGTCTACAAGTGCCAAACACTTTGGTATTATACAAAATAAAAAAACTGCCATCTCAACACTTTGGTAATGTACGAGATGCATAACTCCCATCTCAACAAGAAAGAAAAAATCCCATCTCATCTCATTCTTCTTGGAATCAGCCAAAGTTCATCAATATTTCAAGAAAGTATGCGGGACATGAAGTAAATATTGATATACATAGATTCTGCAAAGTGGATACCATGTTTAATCAAAAACATGTAAATAAGTCAATGTAGAATTTGAACTTTGCAAACACTGCTATTTTATGTCTCATAATGATGCAGAATCGGTATGTCTTATGCTTGGAGAAGCAAAGCTGTTTGTCTAGTTTCACTCATACCTGGTAACTAAATGACAAATTTACCCTGCCAATGACCAATGCATTAAAATGTTATTTATGCATGATAAAAACACGAGCAATAATTAAAACAAATGAAATGTTCAACTTCTTTGCAAGAGCTCAAGAATAACATCAAACTCGGCTTACTTCTGGTGAAGAGTTGACAAGTATCCAGTCTACAATTCTATAATTTACTACATACAATGTACTAGGAACTGAGATAAAAGATTAAATAATAACTGACCATAAACAATAACACAGGATAGGAATTCTAATTATTTAGCTTTGATAAAAATGAGCAACGCAGAATATTCATATTTAAACTTAAAACCACTCTTAGGGGTTTCCTTTATAGTTTATCAAATTTACAAAGTTACACACCATCATAGAAGCCCTCGTGGATTCTTAATTGTATCAGAGATACCCCCTTTCTTCTATTAAAATGTTGTCCAAAATGGGAAAAGATCAAATTTTCTTTGTTGTAGATGAGAGAAGTTCTATTTTATTTTCTTGGAAAATATTCATTCAAACATTTAGTCATTTAACAACAATGCAAAATGCAACCTTTTAAACAAATTTTAAACTGTGAACATTTTTCCTTTCCAAAACTTGACCACCTTATCTACATGTATATTTGACTCTGATGTCAGTTCTACTAGGTTCTTGTCCACATAAAAGACTTGCTGTACAAGTTCATTTCCACATAGAAGACTTGCTGTACTGAAAAATACAATTGAGCAAAACATATGATCTAAGCAGATTTGTATAAAATGGATGATTTGTATATGACTTACATGTGACATCGCTAATTTCAGAGGCTTTAACATTATACACCTTCACCTTTAGCAGGACAGGGACACCATTTTACATTGTATATGTTGTATTCATCACAGCCAATTTGAATTGTAGAAATATTGAAAATATCTTAGGACTTCCATGTTTTCTGTAAACTGTGAAAAATTTCATTCCATGACTGAACTACATGTAGATTAATTGCTTGGTTTCCTTTTTATCAAGTTTCACCTTTGTTCATGTTCTTAATTTACTTAAAAAAACTTAAGGACAGAATTAAATCAAAATTTTTAACTGTCTGAGAATGATTTTTTAAATTATGCAAAAAAATATTCACTCTAGTTTGTGAAAAAAGCAAATGTCTGCAATTTACAGTTTACAACAATACAAAGTGACACAAAATGTGTCTTATACATAAAAACACAAAATCGTCACAACAATAAACTTAAAAATTCAATGATATAATTCTCACAAATGCAGTGTGATTTCATTGATGTTCTAATGGATCAAATTTTTATGGTTTTGACAAAAAAAAAATTTTGTTCAGACACATGTTAGTGGACAGTGATCACATCCTAAAAATTTGTAGTTCACTGATCACCTTAATTTCATGGTCTAGTCTCAACAATGAAAACAACTAAAATTGGTATTTGAGGAAAAACGATGAAACCACAGTATGTACCAAGTAAGGGCAGATCCATTTACAATAGCATATATGGTTTTAACATATATTCAAAATGCTAGCACATGTATTCCCATTTCATCTACATGTATTAATATGAAAAAAAAATCTCTGAAACCTTAGGTAAAATTGAACAATATATTCCCCCTCCCCCCAACAAAAAAAAAAACTATTGAAATCACAACACACAGATATTGTAAAATTGGCAACCATATTGCAACAATGGATGCATGAATAAATCAAAATAAAATTTTCTAAAAATTTAATAAATTCTTACCAAGGTAGATATACAAGCTACATGGTACTACAATGATATGTATCTCTAAAATCTCTGCCTATAAGTATAGCACTCCATATTAAACTGTAAAACTAAATATAAATCTCCCGCTTCTCTAAATCCTAACAGCCCTAAATCTGCTGAAGTGTACACAACTTTAAACACTGATTTAACACTGCTACTGATGACAAGATGTCGGCAGTTGTTTTGACAGTTTATTGTGACTTAATTCAGCTATGACAGTCTCGTGTTGGGCTGATATTGCATAGAGTAATTGTCCTGACTGTATGACTGAAACTGTGGCTGGGGTTCCCCTTTAGCTATAGCAGGTACTCCTTTACGGTAGACTAAGATGTTTAAAATTGGTTTTCGTTGAATGTATTCCACTGCCTTTCTGTGAGTAACTACAGTAAAATCATGTCCATTAACCTAGACCAAAAGATAAAGTTTAATAAATACACAAGTTTACTTCTGTTAACAAAATCTAGATGCTAGTAGTAAAATGTGTGTAAATATATAAATTTTAATTTTTTTTTTTTTTTTTTTTTTTTTTTTATTCTTTTAAAAACTTCTTCTTATGTTTTTTTTCTATGTAAATATTATGTAAAGATGTTACCTTAAGAATTGAGATGTATTTTTACCTGTAGAATTTTATCATGAATGTGTAGACCACACCTCTCTGCAGGACCACCTTCATGTATGTAAGTTACATAAACACCCTTCAAAATGTCAAAGAAAAACCAATAACACTGCACATATTAACATTATTTCTGAATATACACTATACAACACCCATGGGCCACCATGCTCACCTGGGTCAAACTGCTCTGTCTATGCCAATTGAACATATACAATAAGACCCAATCTTGGGATCGAAAACTAAGTCTAACAAAGGAAAAACTTAAATCTGCACTAAGGGCAGTGCATGCATATACTAATTCAGTCTCATAGATGGACAAAAATTCTTACATAAATTTTATCTCTATTTAAAACTCAAACCCTGTTGCAACCCCACTCTTAAATAAGAGATTTAAAGAAACTTGAATCTGCAATAAATATAGATGCTTGCACTCTAAATTCATTGATGCTTGCATACTAAATTCATTGATGCTTTCACATTAAATTGATTGATGTTTGCACACTTAATTGATTGAAATTAATAAAAGGATCATTCCTTTTCTGTAGAGGAAACTTTTAAGAATTTTTCAGCAAATTTTCATATAAAATTTTGAACCCATACTGTGGGCCCATTCTGACTTGAAGTAACTTTAAGATGCAGACACATTCCAAAAAAAATTTTGATCTGAAGAACTCACTTGAAAGGCTCATATTTGAATTAAGTTAAAAATACATAGGAAGAAATGTCATTCCAATATTATCAATAAACCAACCTGATTAAAATCAGATCCTCATTGAACCTTTTTAACAATATGTCGCTTTCGAAAGCGTAAGTGACATTTCATTAAAAAGGAGCAACATGGATCTGATTTTAATCAGATTGATTAATAAACAAGAGACCCAAAGGCCACATTGCTCACCTGAGTGCTTCAGCTAGAAAAAAGCAGAAATCTTGAAAAGTTTAAATATGTAAGTGATTCCAAACTACCTCCCCCCCCCCCCCCCCCCAGATTCCTATGTAAAATTTTGATAGCCTATTGTGATCCCACCCAACCCCCAGTGGTCATCATTTGTTCAAATTAGAATCTACACTACCTGAGGATGCTTCCACATAAATATGTAAGTGATCATTCCTTGCTGCTCTTAAAAAAAAAGAAAAGAAAGATTTTTCCTACATATTCCAATGTAAAACTCATACATTGTGCCCCAACCCCCAGGGGTCATAATTTGAAAAAAAATTTAATCTGCATACCCAACAAAGCTTCCATGTAAATGCTTTGCTGTTCTTAAGAAGAAGATTTTTTAAAGATCTTTCTATCTTCCTATGTAAAACTTTGATCACCAATGTGCCCCACCCTACCCCAAGTGGACATGATTTGAGAAAACTTGAATCTACACTACCTGATGATGCTTCTGTATGAATATAAATAATCATGGCTTTGCTGTTCTTGAAAAGATTTTTACAGATTTTTGCTATATATTCCTATATAAGACTTTGATCACCCACTGTGTGAGGGTCATGCTTTGAACTTAAATCTACATTTTGAATGAAGTTTTCATATAAGCTTCATCTTTTCTGGACCAAAGGTTCTTAGAAGATTTTAGAAAGATACCATTAAATTTTCACTACTTCTTAATCATTTCTCCTTAAAAGAGGGTGTGGCCCTTCATTTGAAAGGATATTTTGTGGTAAGTTTGGTTGTAATTGGCCCAGTAGTTCTTCATGTTGAGAAGAAGATGAAAATGTTAAAAGTTTACAGATGGATGGACAAACAGACGGACAACAGACAAATTGTGATCAGAAAAGCTCACTCGAGCTAAAAATTTAAGGAATAAATAGAATATTCATAAACTTATCAGAAATATCAACAGGCATTTTAGAATTATTATCTTCATAATCTTCAAAGACACAACATTCAAATACAATTTATATGGCACATTTCACTGTTTTTCAAAAGGGGGCTGGAAAAATTGATAATGAAAAGCAAATAAAAGGTATATATTATGTCAAAAAATATTAGTGAATAGGTAAGGCCCTTCTTGTTCTATGAAGGTGACATAATCAATACCTTGTCTGGATATCCCTGGGGACTCTTTTCATTGTCCTGATCAATACCCCCTCCAATGCGAAATCCACACTTGTATTTTTGTTTGCCATCTGGTCCAAAAACTGGGTTACCCATTCCATCAACTTCAGGCTCTTTCTCGAGAACAAGTGGGATCTAAAATATCCAGAGAAATCTCCATATTTTATTTAAATTAAAGTTATACTTCAAAAACTACTATAGTAAACATGTATCTTTTGTAGAACCTGCTCGAGTAATTTTCAGGTAATGGCACAATCACTTGGAAAAGCTTGTCAATGAATTAGCTACAGTAAAACTTTTTACTAAGAAAAGGATATAGCATATTCATGGCTGTAGCGAAGTTTTTTTAAACATATATTTCTTTTTAAAATTTTAAGGTTATAACAAAGTCTGATATAATGAATTTACAGATATACTGAACTGATTTTGTGTCAAGTAGAGGTTAGAAATAACAAAATGTGCATTTTTTTATAATGAATTTTTGAAGATCTCAGAATTTAAACATTGAACTGACTTTATTTTTTGTATTTATATATGAAATTCATCATGAAACTTAAGTTACCCAAGGTATGTTTTGTAAATGTTTCCCTTGCATTTTTGGTGTCATACTTGAAATAAAACATGTATATTGCAAATTTGCTACATATACTTTATGAATCCAAATTTTTTGCCACTAAAATGACTTGGGTTTTTTCCAGATTTGTTGGAATTGTCCAAGAGCTATCCAAGAAGTTCTGAATACTGAGTTCAAGGTATGGGGAGTTGTCAAAGTTTCAGAAAAGTTTAATAGCATTACAAATATTCTTATTTGTCTTTAAAATAGTTTTGAAAAAAGACGCTGTAAGATGTAGTAAAACACAGGCTAGAAGACTCAGAATTTACATAAAAATGGGGTTTCAATTACAGTAAAGGGAAATGGCAAGGGGTTATAGCCACTGGCAAGAATGTGTGAAGTCAGGACACCAGGTGGATTCAGTAGACCAGAAAATTCACTTTCCTTTGAGATAAGCAAAATAAAATTTGGACTTGGAACCTTGAATATACATGTACTTCGACATAAGCGGGGTATTCAAGATAACTGTGTTTGAGATATAGGGAGTTTTTTTAATCATATATACAGAGAATACAGCCAAGACCTACAATCGACTTTGACATAAGCGGGGTTTTCGAGATATCCCATGTTCGAGATACTGATATTTATGTGTATATATTGCGCTGGATCTGACATATAAAAGACACACTTGTGAAAATAGTAACTTTATATAAAATTCTTAATCAAGTTATTGTGAAAATTTTATTATAAAAGTTTTCTGACTAATAGAAAGCACAGCGAGCGGTGTAAAGTGCCACTCATCACTGCGAGCTCTAACGACAACACCTGGGCGAAGAGAAAATTCGGATTACTGCACATTCATTCAATAGAATTTTTTCCGCAGTAATTCTGGACCCACAATGCATCGCTTGTTGTTCTCATTGCTAACCTCGTTCGCACAGTAACATCAACTAAAAATTCACCAAAAAAAATAAACTCACCTTATTTTAATGGATTTTGCATACAGATAGTAGACTAAACGTTTTTGTTAAAATCTTTACACTTTTCAATCTTCATATATGTAAATGCAGCTAACACAGGACTTCATGTGACGTCACAGTCTAGACGTTCCAAATGTCTCTTGCGGTCAACATATTATAACCTATATAGCTTAATCAAGAGATTGTGCTAGACCTGATTATCAAATTATTCCAGTCAAGACATTAATATTAAAAGCATATTCTCCTAATTATAAAACAATTATTTCAAAAGACCTCAACATATTTTGTGCAATGTTTGGAGAACAGAAAAAAATGGACGTTTATCATGGTTGATCTGAGCTTTCAATTTCGTTCACTTCAGAATACTGACAATGAGACTATGAGACTATTCTTCTTATAAAGAGAAAAACTCAAAGCTTCCCAAACAATCTGACTCACACTATAACACTCTAATGGGTCGCCAGCCGTGTGACCTGTCATGCTGAACAAACTTCAAAAGATTTCCTCTTCAAAAGAAAAATCTATGAAAACAGAAAAAGGCACTTTTCTGTCAAGATCTGAGAGTTGATGCGGATTTTAATTACTTCCGGAAACACAGCTTTGAGAGAAATTGGACTATGACTCATTCGAGGAAAGACAACTCTTTGTCCAAACGGTTCGTACAAATGACATCCACTTGCAAACAATTTTTATCATATAAGAGCATATAATTCTTGCATATTCCAAGCAGCTACTTACGAAAGAAATTCCTTAATCCTTTTTTAATAAGAAAAAATTTACCCGACACATTTCAAGTTTGAGTTGATGAGAGCCTGGCGCCATCTTCAAAACGAAGATCGTCAAGAGCATGGATGGAACAATTGCTGATGTGTTTCATAAAGAGGTAAAAGTGGACCTTGATGTATTATTTGCTTAATCATTGTTAAAAGAGAAAAGGATTGTCTGGCTTAATTCATTTAAACTCATGAACTGTCAGTGATGAGCACAAGGTTAGCTTTTTTAAAAAAAGCTGAGAGTTAGCCACTGGAATACAGAAAGTTTCTTTCTTGTTTTGTGATGGTATATGATTTGTTTTATCCATCATTTTGTGTTCATTAAAAGACATTGTCGTCTAAGTTAAAATTCGAACAGTCGGTTTCTTATTTGTAACATAATGCTGTACATAATAAATAATAAAGCATAGAATAAATTTTAGATAGACTACATCGTGATCTTTATGACCTCCAGTTAATTTCTCTTGGGCGCGGACATCAGATACAGGCCCGTAGGAAGCAATTTCAGTTTGGGGGTTGGGGCACAGTCATACATTTTCAGTTGGAGAGGCACTATTAACTACCAAAAATTCCTTGACAAGCAAAAAAATTAATAAATAAAAAAAAAAAGGTCATCAGACATTTTTATTGAGGGGGCACAAGCATATACATGTAGTAGCTATGTTTTCTATAGTAGTCTATATATCGGAAAAATTATTGAGGGGCACTATTAACTACCAAAAATTCCTTGACAAGCAAAAAAATTAATAAATAAATAAAAAAAAAGGTCATCAGACATTTTTATTGAGGGGGCACAAGCATATACATGTAGTAGCTATGTTTTCTATAGTAGTCTATATATCGGAAAAATTATTGAGGGGCACTATTAACTACCAAAAATTCCTTGACAAGCAAAAAAATTAATAAATAAATAAAAAAAAAAAGGTCATCAGACATTTTTATTGAGGGGGCACAAGCATATACATGTAGTAGCTATGTTTTCTATAGTAGTCTATATATCGGAAAAATTATTGGGGGGCACCCCCCCCCCCCCCGGTTCCTACGGCCATGAGATAAAGTTCGTCTCAGAAATGAACAAAGCCACTATGATCCCAATCATTTAACATTGAAGAATGTATACATTTTCAATTTTACTGTTAAATTCTATAAATGATATAGATTATGATGCTTAAAAGCAGAGACATATATCTATTATATGTCTCTGTTAAAAGGAAGGTAGACCTTGGGTTAGATTGTGTTAATTAGTTATCATTAGATAAAAGTTTTTAATCGTGCATGTTCGAGGCAATGCATGATAGGGGAAGGGGGAGGGGTGCATACTGTATGTATATTTAATTCAATTTATAAATTTAAGCATTCATTTTGGTGTTATTAGGAAAGAAAAGAATTGCTTCCAAAATAAAGTAATAAACTGGAAATTCAAAATATTTTATACATACAGTACGTATACCCTAAAATGATACTGGATTCCATCTCGCTCTCTCTCTAATTGGGGGGGGGGGGGGCTGCCTATAAATCTGCGCAGTTTCTCTCAACTCTCAAGTTCTACTGTGGTCAGTTTCTCACCTGTGGGCGCGGTTCACGTGCACAAGCGGCACTTACGTGTCTATCATCATGTAAATTAGAAGACTTTACACATCTTAAGTGATCTTCTGATGTTTTCATAACTTTCATCATTAAAGTGAAAAGAGATTCTTTTTTTCACTGTTTGAACGGGACCTTATTGTGTGAATTCCGACCCGTACATGTCTTATGCAAGGTATTGATCGAGGGAGTCTTGCATCAGGCATTCAGAGGAATACACACAAATCCGTGAACTTGCAACGGCGATTGAGGGTATATATATCAAGTGTTAAATGTGCTCTGCATATAAACTTCTCATCTTCTATAAGAAGCACAGAAATATTTTCATAGTATCACATTTCCCACTTAGAACAATCTCTTCTTTAATTTTTCGTCGAGAACGACGAAGAACAATGCAGTCTATAAATAGATCGAGGTCGCGTCTTTGTTTAGAGGGTGTTTGTGAAGAATCACGCCCTTTGGTTGGAGCAAATAGCACGAGTTTCTTTAGAACAAGTCGTGTACATCTTTTTTCCCAGAATTCCAAATTACGCAAGCACACTTGCAGTTTCATCCCACCGTAACTAGTCAGCCCGGGGGCTGACTAATAATACTTTAACAATGTTCAGCTAACAGGCACTTTTGGGTCTATTCTCTTTAGAGAAGTGGACAGGCTTTCGCCTACATCCACTTCTCTTCGCAAGCCTTCATGTTTTGATTCTGGAAAACGTGTAAATCTCGAACCGGTGACGGTCTACACTTCAACTGACATTTCGTCTAAAATACGTCTGAATGTACGTAATAGACGTGCTATATTATCAATTTTAACATAAATACACACAATTGTCACAAGAAAACTGACCTTTAAGTATTGTTAATCCATTTTCACAAGTTCTCAAGATATGAAGGTTTGCGAAGAGAAGTGGATGTAGGCGAAAGCCTGTCCACTTCTCTAAAGAGAATATTTTGGGTCATGGATCTACGAAGATTATTATGAAAATCTTTTGGAGCTATATTCACATTCAGTCAGTGTTTTAATTTTGCCCAGGAGTTCCTGTCTGATTTAAATAAACACAAATACATATTCATATGGTTGTCATGATAGGTTGATTAATCATTTTACACCTAATAGTCCAATACACACTTTGCAAAAGTTGTGTCCCTTTGCCAGTCTGGTCGAACCCCCAAATGGGGGTAAACGGAAATAGGAAAACCATACCCCCAAATGCGGGTACGAGCATGTGCAGATGCTTAAAAATGTGCGTATTTCACGCAAAAAGTAGGGGGTTTATAAACATAGTTGCCAACTCACCCGATTTCACCAGGTTACACCCGATTTTTCGACCCTTAACCCGATTATTTTTTATGACACGGCGGGTCATGCTTTTCACCTGATTTTTGTCGAACAACCCAAATATCTCCTGATTTCCGGATTTGGTTCGTAAATTAGGTTGCACTTTTAACTTCCAGTTACAACCCAAGCTTGGATATATGTAAACAATGCCGATGGCTATGTTCAGTAGGCCGTGTGTACCAGTAAATTATCAATGCAGGTGTAAACAATTACAAGAGAGTTGTTTTGACAAATAAAAGTTTGAAGTCAATTTAAATTTGCTTCAGATAGAACGAGATGGTTATCAGGGCCAGCAGGAACAAATTGAACCAAGAAATAGAGGAATGATATTTATGTACATATCAAGGAATCTTGGAAAACAACTTTCATTAGTTAAAGTATTCGAAGATAGTGTAGGCATAACTGTACATTTAATAGCACTTGTTAATTAAGTTAATTTGAGAGGGGAAAAATAACTTCAAAACCAAAATTGGAATACTTTCAAATTTAGCACAAATTTCCATGTGCTTCAAATCAGCAATGCAGATTTTGGAAAGACTTTTCCTTTTAAATGCACACTTAATTCAGGTCAATACTGAATAATGAAAGCTTCAATGCTCTTTTAACATGTAAATTTAATCAATATATATTAAATTTTTCTCATTGTAAGTTAAAGTTTCTTTTTAATAAAATAATTCCCAATACAAAATGCTTATATATACATATATATTTAATTTAATCATGGTAAATGTGTCGTGAATGTTGTTACGCGTTATGACCAGACTTTTTACTTTCCAAATCTGGTCATGACCAGATTTTTACATGTTGGAGGTTGGCAAGTATGTTTATAAAAATTGTAGGTGCAAAGTAATAACTGGTCATTTGGCAAATGTAAAACCGCTCAGAAATGATAGGTTAAAGGTGCTTTAATAGTTTCTATTTTACAAAAATGCAACTTTATTGCACAAATCGGGATTTATTCAATGGGAAAGTTAGCGATCTTTTGCTCCATGACATCCAGGTATTTAAGATAAAATATTCAATAAACAGACAAAAGCAACCAATATTAAACTGAAATTATAAAAGAAATGTATAATTCTAACTTATATCTTTTATTTTCATAATAAAATGCACGAAAATATGGTGTTAATATCGATTTGTTTATGATCATGTGTTTCAGTTTGGTTTTCTCTGACTAGCAATCAATGGTATTTATTATGGATAATCATGCCCAGAAAATGTAACAAAAATACATATAAAAATAAAATTCAAATGCAATTTATCGTATTAATTGTCTTTTATATCTTATAAGAGTTAAATAAAATGTTTGACAATTTTTTTTAAAAATAAATAAAATTGTTTGGGAGAAAACATGATCATTTTATTTTATTTTATTTAAATCTAGATTCTAAATTGATATTTTCCTCATTCTTAGAATATTTTCCCTTGTGTTTTAAATTCCGTAATTTAAAAGAATCTTAATTGAGACTTCCTACAAATTATGGAAAACTTAACCTGTTAATTTTTTTCGATTGACATTTTACCAAGTTCAAAGCAGAAATAACAATATTATTGATCTTTTTCCTAGTAAGATAGATGATACATGCAAGTTTATTTACATTGGATATGGCAAGAGTTACTGTTACAAGACGGGACAGAAAACCCCTGTCTGAGGGTATACCCCCGTTTGAGGGTTCGACCAGACTGTTCGCGGTGCCGACCAAAAAGGTCGAAAGGGAAAGAATATTGAAATTTCTTGTCTTTATGTTACCAAACATTTGGACATGCTCTGATAGATCAACTGTGTTTAATTTTTTCTTTCGATGTATGGGTATCTCCTTCCTGGGGCAATCAAAATACAAGATCCACAGATTTTTTTCCAGTCAAGTGACAGTTACAAAGCAGAAAACTACAAAGGGTACCATGAGGATTCTACTGGTTTTTCCACAAAGGTGGCGGCCAAGAGACATAACTTTTGAAAAGTGTAATTTCAACTATACTAAAACAGAGTAACCTACTTCAAAAACTATAAGTACTCCTCCCACAGGTTATTATCAATATAACGTTCTTTAATCTTTAGGTGCATAAGTTAGTTACATTCGATTTTGCAAATAAATTTTATAATTTCAAATAATTGCAAATTACAGAGGTCAAAATCATGTCTTTCATCACAGTATTTGTGCAATGAATAGACTTGTTACATTTAATATGTACTACAGTAGGGTATTTGATTCTTTCCTCCTTTTTGCTCACCAGAACAAAATAAGACTATTGCAATAGAGCTACAGTCTTATCATAACCACATTCTGTTATGTAACTTTGTCTGACAATTTTCCTTTGTATCAGTGTGTTAACTTAACTACCAGTAATTTGAAGAGTCTTGTGTCAAACTGCTGGCATTAACTGAAATCATTAATATTCATGTAGATGCAATTTGGAATTTGCTTACACAGGTGTATAGATGGAGGACGGGGGCTGCAATAATCTGGTCAGTCATCACAGTGCCTGTTGTATTTGGTGTGTACGTGATGCTGGCTTATGTGGATGTCCTCCACCCCTCACAGTGGATCTCAGGTATCAGATAAAGGCATTATCACCACATGCAGGGATTTTTACTTTAATTGTGAAAGCATTATGAAATGCATCAAACTAGATTTTTAAAGAAATGTTGAAACAATTTTGCATTTGATTATTGTATTGTACTGAAATATTACTTACTTTGATTTTTCTCCAATTTTTAGTTGATTTATATGGTCTCTTTGTTAGGAAGCCTCTCCACACTGTTCTCTGTGTTTTTTGTCCTCATCTGTTTCGTACTCCTAGCACTAACAGGTCTTTGGTGTTGTCTCTGTCTTCCTACATTCACAGGTAAGTTTGTTCATGCTGAGGTACAATATTTGTAGATTTCACATTTTCTATATCATAAGCCAAAGAGCTGTAACTTAGACATAATCTTCAACAGCACTATAAAACTACATATTCAATTTCTCAAGCATATGACTTTCATCTTTCTAAAACATTCTTAAATACATGATTGAACAGTCTGTGTCATGTGCTTTTCCAATATGACATGCCTGTATAATTGATCTCTGATGCTTTTCAGTTGAGCCTGAGGTCTCTGGCACCCCTCTACTGCTGGCCATCAGCATGTGTTCCCCTCAGAAGCTGGGCTTTGGATTGGTTTGTTTCCTTGTTAGTGGGCTGAGCTCTCTGTTATGTACGGGGATCCTGATGGGACGATACCAGGACCTGACTGTCTGTACCAATAGGTATTATACTCAGCTAGTTACTAAATTTTATGTTTAAATATTGGAATTGAGGACATATATGTAAACAATGAAAAATTGACCTCTAAGATTTAATTTTTTGTTGTCCATATTTTGGAATCTCGATACTGGAAAGGTGTATACCAATAGTTATAATTATTCAGAGCTAAAAATGCGGATTATGCTCTTTTACTTATTACATGTATCATTATCAAAGTTCATTAATTTTTGTGGTTTTATACAAGCTAAAGGGGAGAGTTAAAAGACAGGGAAAAAAGAGTTATTAAGAAATAGACCAGCCCTGTGTTAATATTTTCAGAGATTTTTGTGTACTGAATGAGCATCACCTGTTCCTGGTTCTTTATGGTTGTTACACGGGAGTCATTTTCTACCTGTTCCATTTCCTTAAGCAGAACAACTATTTACAGTTTAATACTATACAGGCAAGTCAATATTAAGTACCCCCTGATTAATTCTATACAGGTAGGTCATTATTAAGTGTCTCCTGATTAATTCTTTACAGGTAAGTCATTATTAAATACCTCCTGATTAATTCTATACAGGTAAGTCATTATTAAGTGTCTCCTGAATAATTCTATACAGATAAGTCATTATTAAGTACCTCCTGATTAATTCTATACAGGTAAGTCATTATTAAGTCCCTCCTGATTAATTCTATACAGGTAAGTCAATATTAAGTACCTCCTGATTAATTCTATACAGGTAAGTCATTATTAAGTGCCTCCTGATTAATTCTATACAGGTAAGTCAATATTAAGTGCCTCCTGATTAATTCTATACAGGTAAGTCAATATTAAGTGCCTCCTGATTAATTGAAATACTATACAGGTGGTTATTGAACTCTTTATTCATAAAATTGAAATTTGGAGGAGACAGGTCATAAAATTGAAAGGATCTTTTAGAAAAGGATTTCACTTTCCTGATATGGACATGTATTAAGCCAATTGTGCAGATAATTACAGTTGACTGTACATCTAGAACTAGTATTATAAGAAAAGATATTTATTTGATAACAATCAAAGTATTCCAAGTCTTTGTTTGATAGCAATTCGTGTATTTTCTTGAGTCTTTATTTGAAACAATCCGAGTATTTCCAAGTCTTTGATAGCAATCCAAGTATTTCCAAGTGCTTGTTTGATCGCAGTCCAAGTATTCCATGTCTTCGTTTGATAGCTATCCAAGTATTTCAAGTCTGTGTTTGATAGCAATCCAAGTATTTCAAGTCTATGTTTGATAGCGATCCAAGTATTTCCAAATCTTTGTTTGATAGCAATCCAAGTATTTCCAAGTCCGGAGCCAGATTCTTCCTCTCCTACAGACTTCATTTCACTGTGTCCTGCAGCAGACCATTTATTTCTATCCACTCTACTGGCTCTTTGGTAAGCATCTTACTTTATCTCTTTTTATTATTATAATCCATTTTTAGCATTTAGTTTTATTTTGTTTAAATGTACATGTATATCTGTCTTTAATTTTGCACACCCCCATTACCTTCCTAGCATTGCATAACATATTGTTGAAACTTGTTTGAGTTGTGATATTTTGAAGTTTCAGTGCTATATTTTACTTTCTTTTGATCTTGCAAATTAAAGAAAAGAACTATGAAATTAATCTTAAAGAATCAGATATCTTCCTGATTCTAAATTATTTTTTAAGAAAAGTAGTTTAAATTACAGATAAATTATAAACTTTTGTAATTGAGAAACATAGTTTGTAAAAATAAAGTTTTTTTTTTCCAGGACATATTCCCACAGGTTGGATAGTTCATAGTCTGGGATTAAGAAGGTTAGATGTGATACTTTATAAAATCTCATTTTTAGATGATTTATTTCAGAAAGACAACCATCTAGATTAGAATCACACAGTCTTAGAATTAGTTTGGATGATGTGATAATAAGGTCATATTTAGACAGCTTGTCTATTCTGTAGGAGTGCATTACCATTGGACTCTATATATGGCTTACTAGACATGGGTCTTCTGTGGCAGACAGTATTGTGTGGACTGTTAGTACATGTGTCCTGGAGTCTAGGATCACTTTTAATTAAAGTTTATATCACTGAGGTAAATGTATAACCCCATTACTGATAAAAAGATACAGAAAAACAAGACTGTAGTGAACATCATAATAAATGTATAATTCACTACTTTGCACATTACTGGAACTTGGTAACAAATTATTTCAATATAACCAGTTACTGTATTTGCTTTTGATGTATATACTGTTACCTTGTTTTATATTGTACCATTTATGTATTTGTTTTTTTTTAACACTTTAGTTAAATGTTACTCAGCCTGTTGGTCACTTTTTAGCGATACTGTTTCCCTATTGAGAGTATGTTGAATGAGAAGAAGAACCAGTGTTTGATAGATGCTCTACAGTGTGACCAAAATATTATTGTCAAGGTAAAATAGGTCAAAATTGTGTTCTAAGTGTCAGTCAAGTAAATTAACGTTATAATGTGATTCTTTCTTTCACAATATGCCACATACATGTATACCCACCACCACCACCTTCAGAAAAGGCTTTTTAGTAGTTGTTACTTACTCCACACTTTGAAATATGCAGTCCTGTTTATTAGGGACTTAAACTAAGATGAAAAATTTAAGGTGATTAAAATCTTGCGAAATGAATTATTCTATTCAAAATTGGTTATTAATATCTTTCTGAATTCATTTTAAAAAAGATTAAAACCTTTTTAAGATTAATGTGAAAAAGAGGGTTATTTGCAAAATTACATTTTAATCCTAGTCATAAGTTATTTTGTAAAACTGGCCTTTAAAGTGACATTTTAATGAGACTTGCTCCTTTCTGATTCGTGCATTCTTTCTTGTAGTATCTGGGATACTTGGACCTCTGTCTGTTGTCCAAACACTCACCTGAGAGACGACAGATCACCTTCAGTCTCAGCCAACCAGGTAAGACAATCCATCACTGATATATGCTATCTATCTTTACTGTACTGTGTTGTCAAGAACAATACTATAGTGTCTAGGACCACACACATGAATGGATATGTTTAAATATGTTGTTCATGTTTGTGTGTGTGTGTGTGTGTGTTTATTTGTCCAGTTCTTTTATTTCTGAAAACTGCTAAGGTTTCCTTTATTCCACCAAATTCTAGCAGTTCAACATTCAGCTTTTACTATCCTTCAGTTAATGAAGGTCTAGTGAGTCTTAAAAGAATTGTATCTTTTTCAGGAGGACATCCCCACAACTGGACAAAGCTCTCCACTTCCTGTCTGTCAGTTATTACAGCCCTTAGTGAGAAAATCCAAGACGCGAATTGGCAGGTGTTCTCTCAAGCCTCTATCAGGTCTGAGGACATCAGAAAACCCCCAGGGAACCAACATGGTACATGTATCTTGCTTTATACAAAACATTATGTATTAAAGCAGGGGTCTAGAATTACGCTTTCCCGTTGCCCGGGGCAAGTGAAATTCATCTCGGGAAAGATAGTTTTCATGATAAACTTACCCGAACGGGAAAGTAATAAATTTCAGGCTGAGCCAGCAAAACTTTTTGAGTTTATTAAAAGAAATCAATAACAATAAACATCCAATTACATTGTATTAGAATCTGCACAAGTCTGCTACATTTCGTTTATTTAAACTTATCATAGGAAGTCCAATTACTTGTATAATATCGGAACCAATCCAGAAAGATCTCAAAATTACAGAATGGCTTTTAAAACAGAAATGATGTTTTGAAAACAATGTTTTGTCAAAATGTGATTAAATCAATAGATATTTTAACAAAATAATAAACAAGTACATAATAATTGCTTTTAGATGGTGTATACATTAAAACCACACAGTAAAAAAAATAACAAAATAGAGTTGTTTATATTTTTCTAGATTTTTGTTTTCGAGTTCTGTTTTAGGTTAATTAATGATATGTTTTCAAATAAATAAACCAGTAAATTAAATGATTTTCTGATATGTTTTCAAAAAAAAAAAATCAGTAAAACTAGATGATTTTCTCCATCTTTTTGGGGGCAAGTGAATTTTGAATCTGGGCAAGTGGATTCCCAGTCATTACTTGCCCGTGGGCAAGTGAATTTTAAAAAAAATTCTAGACCCCTGATTAAAGTTAGGTTTGAATAGGTTTATACTAAATCACAGGTAAACTAGGTGTTTACATACTGAATACTGTAAACCAACTATTTTTTGCGTCATATTTTATTTCGATTTGTCAGCTTGAAATCAATCCGCAACGATAAATTTTCATGACTGAGGAATTATTCTATACAAATACAAAGGAAAATAAATGGTTCGCGGTGATTAATATTCGTGAGTTAAAGTAGGTCACGAAACTCGTGGATATTTCTCGCACTCGAATAAAAGTTAGTTTACAGTAGTTTTGTGATCATCAGAAACAAACTTCCTAGAATTATTTTTTTTAGGTCACCTGAGTCACTCAGGTGACCTATTGCTATCCGTTCTCGTCCGTCGGCGTGCGGTGTGCGTCGTGTGTTAACATTTGAACATTTTTAGCTTCTTCTCTGAAACCGCTTAACCAATTTCAACCAAATTTAATATATAGCATTTATGGGTGAAGGGGAACAAAAATTATGAATTTCATGGTCCCTGCCCCCCTGGGGCCTGAGGGGTGGGGCTAAAACCCCCAAAAATAATGCAATCTTTAAAAATCTTCTTCTTTACACCTGGACATCAAGCAGTCAAACTGTTGGCATCATTGTAATAAGCATTGAGTCTTCTACCAAAATTATGAAATTCATGGCCCCAGGGTCAGGGGTTCTGGTGCTAGGGTGGGGCTATATAGATCATATAGTGAAAGTGCATTATTTCTTTGAAAATCTTCTTCTCTGCTCCTGGGTATTAAATAAACTAACAAAGTACATAGTTATGATGAGCAAGAGTGCCTCTTCCAAAATTGTGAAATTCATGGCCCCAGGGTCAGGGGTTCTGGTGTTAGGGTGGGGCTCTATTGATTATATAGTGAAAATGCATTAATTCTTTGAAAATCTTCTTCTCTGCTCCTGGGTATTAAATAAAGTAACTAAGTACATAGTTATGATGAGCAAGAGTGCCTCTTCCAAAATTGTGAAATTCATGGCTCCAGGGTCAGGGGTTCTGGTGTAAGGGCGGGGCTCTATTGATTATATAGTGAAAATGCATTAATTCTTTGAAAATCTTCTTCTCTGCTCCTGGGTATTAAATAAGTAATTAAGTACATAGTTATGATGAGCAAGAGAGCCTTTTCCATAATTGTGAATTTCATGGCCCCTGGGTCAGGGGTTATGGTGTTAGGGCTAGGCTCTATTGATTATATAGTAGAATTGCATTAATTCTTTGAAAATCTTTTTCTCTACTCCTGGGTATTAAATAAACTAACTAAGAACATAGTTATGGTGAGCATAACTGCCTTTTCAGAAATTGTGAATTTCATGGCCCTTGGGGCAGGGGTTATGGTGTTAGGGCTAGGCTCTATTGATCATATAGGGAAAAGGCATGAATTCTTTCAAAATCGTCTACTCTGCTCCTGGGTATTTTTCAAACAAAGGAAGTGCATGGTTATGATGAGGAAGAATGCCTCCTCCAAAATTGTGAAATTCATGGCCCTGGGCAAGGGGTTCTGGGGGGGGGGGGGGGGAGCTCTATTGATTATAAAGTGAAAATGCATAATTTTTTTCAAAATATTTTTTCTACTACTGGTTATAAAGTAAAGAAACAAGTGTATAGTTATGATGAGAAAGGGTGCTTCTTCCAGAACTGTGAGTTCGTGGCCAATGGGTCAGATGCTCTGGTGTAAGAATGGGGCTTTATTTATTTAATAATATGGTGAAAATGCATTTCTTTGAAAATCTTCTATGCTTCTGGGGATGTTCAAGGCAAACAGATTAAAAGTTTTAATATACAAGGGTATTTTTACCAGAATTTAGAACACCTGGACCATTTAGTCAAGTGTTCTGGTCCTGGCCAAGGCTCTATTAACTTGTATTCTGCTGAGCAAAGTTATTCCCCTTTGTCATTCACCTTTGATAATTAATCAATGTAAAAAATGTATTTGAAAGCTTAATAGAATAAGAGAATTATGCAAGATAATTTTTTGTATAATAAAAAAAGTACTTCCGTGGTTTTAATGACTTGGAAATAATAGAAAAATAAAAATGAGACAAAAATAACTTATCTTTTTAAATGTTCTTCAAAGGCCAAGAGAGGCCATTGTGAGAAGTAATGATATGGGGTTAAGTAATAGACATTTTGTTAATAGTCTGCATGGAAATAGTGATAAATGGGGGGGGGGGGGGGGCAGATAGATACTAGACCAATTATTTTGTTGATGCTAATCATACTGTTTTTATTTTTATATTGAGAAGTAATGATATGGGGTTAAATAATAGACATTTTGTTAATAGTCTGCATGGGAATAGTGATAAATGGGGGGGGGGGCAGATAGATACTAGACCAATTATTTTGTTGATGCTAATCATACTATTTTTATTTTTATATTGAGAAGTAATGATATGGGGTTAAATAATAGACATTTTGTTAATAGTCTGCATGTGAATAGTGATAAATGGGGGGGGGGGGGGGGGCAGATAGATACTAGGCCAATTATTTTGATGATGCTAATCATACTGTTTTTGTTGCTTTTGGGCAACAAAGCTTCATTTTTCAGTTTATGGATCCTCTAAATTGTTGTATTGTACTCAGGTGACCGTTAAGGCCCTTGGGCCTCTTGTTTATTATAGAATATGGCAGTCCAAACTCTTATGTTCTTAAATTTTACATGCTAGTGAAATTTTCACAGCTTTTTTTTTCTAAAGATATATATACACTTAAATTTATAATTGAAATATTAGCTAGCAGCTAGGAAGTGATTTTCTGTAATTTGAGTTATTCCCCTTTTCCCTCCAGGATCAACATTGACTTATAGAGGTGACAATGTTACTAAGGAAACAGCACCACCACAGCCAATCAGAGAGGTGAGATTTCCTGTATAATCCTCAGGTCACCTGTAAATGTGTGGATTTACAATTTACCTTTTATTGTTCATAATTAAACATACCTTTACATGTAAATGTGTCTAAGTATAATTTCATTGTAGGCCTCTTCTTTCTGGAGGACAAAGCCAATAATTAGTTACTTCCTGACTGAATTCCCTGACGCCAAAAGTAGGAAGTTATTTGCCTCAGCTCAGCTTGACATTTGGGCTGTAGAAGGTGGGTGGGTTTAAAAATACACATACAAATAAAATCATTGGTTTATGATTTAATGAGAAACTCCAGAATGAAAGTAATTGAGGTGTATTGCTATCAGTGATCCAGTTTGTTTGTTGTCTACTGATCTAGTGGATACTGACAGCCATTAAAACAATGTCAAATATCTGCATGCATATGTGTCTAAAGCTCTGAAACTTAACCAAAATTATCTGTCCATGGTAGACAGATTTCCTTATGTTTTAAATAAATTAATATTTAAAGATTATAATTATTATTATGTGTACATGTATTTACATAAAACTTGCCCCCACATAATACATCATATTAGTCGCATACATGTAGCAGCAGATTATTTGAGTGACATAATTACCACTGCTCTGAACACAATGTGTCTTCTCTATATTTGAGTGACATAACTACCACTGCTTTGAATACAATGTGTCTTCTCTATATTTGAGTGACATAACTACCACTGCTTTGAATACAATGTGTCTTCTCTATATTTGAGTGACATAACTACCACTGCTTTGAATACAATGTGTCTTCTCTATATTTGAGTGAGATAACTACCACTGCTGTGAATACAATGTGTCTTCTCTATATTTGAGTGACATAACTAGCACTGCTTTGAATACAATGTGTCTTCTCTATATTTGAGTGACATAACTACCACTGCTGTGAATACAATGTGTCTTCTCTATATTTGTAGCATTATGTCATCTTGTGGCAACCTCCTATACAGAAGATAAATATGGGGTGGTTCAAAAGTCACTACCACAAATTCTTACTGCAGTAATTAATCTTCAAGAGGTAAACATTGACCTTGTTGTAATATCACAAGAGTTTAAGATGTCTGTTATTCAGAGTCAGCAGTTTGCAATAAAACAACACATTTGCTGTTTCTAGGCTTTTATTGTCTTGTAAATAACATTATTATTTTGGTTTGTCGTAATTAACATTGTATGATTTTGGTTTGTTATTGTAGAATGTGGAGAAGCATATGAAGCTAGCCTCCTCCGGACGACGAATTAGTGGGCGGGGCGCCCTAGACCTACCCCTAAAGTATGTTCTACACAGCTCACTGAAGTCTTGTATTTACAGAATCATCAATGTTTTTGGTGTTCATTTACTGTAAGTAAGAACTGGAGTTCACTGTGTTCAATACATACAATTAAAGCTTTGATACCACTATAGGAAAATTCTATTTGGTGAAAAAAAATAAAAGGTGCATTTTCTTTGTTTTAACTACTTTGGTTTCCAGAATGTTATATGTCAAATGAGATAACAGCAATAGTGTATTAGTGTTTTATTACTAGTGGCTTTATTAGAGAAAAACTAATGTATTGACTATTGAATATACTTTTGCTTTTTCAGAAATTTAGATTTACCCAGTGATACATCATACAAACTCAAGCTGTTTATGGATTTCAAAGAGTGACTTTGTGATCAGAACTTGTCTGCTAGATGTATTCAGAGATGGATGTACCTGGATTTCTAGAATGGTGCTGAGAGGAAGTGTGTTAACATTGGTGACTCGTCACAGACACCATTAAGTCTGCCGGACTTTAAACACACCCAGATAATTATTGTTTCCTTGTCAACTTGTAACAATGATAGGACAAAATATGTACATGTGAATTGCTTGAAAGATCTGGGGGAAAATCTTGACATAAAAATTATTCTAAACTGTGTTCATTGTCAAAAAAGAATCTAATTGGTCTGCATAAATTTCATACATGTAAACTCAATTACATAAATCTTTAAGTGGAATCCATAGGTGGCATAAATTTTTGGTAACTATTTCAGAGTATCAAAAATAAATTGTAAATCTGTTATCTGGGTTGAAATTACTTGCACTAAGCACTGGATAACCAAGGATGATTCCATTAGAAAAGCTTTTCCACAAAAGAGGTTTTTTTTTTTTTTGCCCTTCTATAAGAAAAAAAAGGTACATTTGTATTCCAATTTTTTTCTTTGAAAAAAGAATACAGAAAGGTTGTCTTTTTAGTAAATAATTACAACTACTGAATATATTTCCATGATTTCTTATGAAACCCATTTCCATTATTGAATACATTAACTCTAACTAGTTAGAATGCTTTTTTCAAAGCCATCTGTGTGAGAGATTTCTTAAGCAGTGGGCTCTTCCATTAGTGAAACGTACGCAGATCAGTAATACAAAATTTTACTTACTTAAGCATACTTCTTACCATTATTTATACAGCTATACAAAATGTTTTTCTTTTTTGTTAATGCAGGGTTTAACGGTCGTAACCAAGTCATAACCCACTTACACAGGTTATGTATTTTTTCCTCCAATTGTTTCAACCGTTTACCTGTGCATTAAATTTTACAGTAAAGATACCCAGTGGATTTTAGAATTGTCACCTGTTTATCAGCTGATTAAGAGTAACATTCCGGAGTTGTCTGTTTCCTATTCAGTCCGATTTGGCAACGTGTTATACATTATACTGGGGTCAATTTTTGGAAATACTGTAGATCACCAAATTTTTGCGACACCTTATTTTCGAAGTAAAGTGTTGTTTGATTTTGCTCGATCAGTATTTTTCAGAAAGCATGAGCAGATCGAGAGGAGAGTTAAGACGCCCTCTTCCCCACTACGAAGTAGGTTTTTCAGGTTTGTTTAAGTTCGGGTGTTTTTTTTTGTATTTTTTTTCCTTGTCGAAAGGTATCGAGTCAGAATTTTTTTTATGAGTTTGTGTGGAACCCCACCCCCCTCCCCGAAAAAAAAAAATCCTGGATCCGCGCATGAAAAAGTACGCGGCGTTTTTATATTAAAAAAATATTAAGTTTATAAATATAACATATAATATATCACATAAAAATAAGCAGTTTGGCTTTACGTAGGTACTATCATCACACACACACAAGCTGTAATAGATTTAAATGCCTTATTTCTTTTAATTTTAAGACAGTTGTTCAAGAAATTAATGCATGATTTTGTCTTCAAATATGTAAATATCTAACATATATCTACCTTTATAATTAACCACCTATGCACAGATCCCACAAACTCGCATCTCTCTCTGTCCTATATTTTCTTGCACAGATCGGGGTTGGGGGGTGTATTCCACCCCCCGGATTTTCAGATTTTTTTAATTTCGATGTTAAAGAAACGAAAAATGACCTTTGAAACACCCCCTCCCCAGGAAACAAGGACCCCTCATTAAATGGTAATGGGAGTCATGTGTTTGAAGACGGGGTTCGTGCAGACCACGAAAAGTGCTTGTATTTTAACCAAGTCCTTGAAAGTGCTTAAACAGAAAATAATCACGTGGAAAGTGCTTAAGTTTACATGTTAAGTGCTTAAATTTTTCTAAGGTGCTTAAATTTTAATTTTGAGCTGCTAAATCAGCAAAGATGTAAGGAAGGAAAGAAAACCATGCGTTGATTAACCTTTCTTCAGCAATACCAACTAAAATATACGGAAAAAGATAAATGAGCTAAAGAGATTTTTATATAATGAGTCGATACACTTACACAAAAGAGTCAACATGCTCCTAAAACACACATATTAGGTCACAACACTTGTTATTGAAAATTGAAGTCACTATATTGAATTTTTATTTGCCTGATTGCACTGTCCAAAAGTGCTTGAAAAGGTGTTAAAAGTGCTTAAAAAATAAACTGGAAGAAAAAACACTATATGGAAAGTGTCTCCTGTTAGAGTTGATTTGGGACACACACCCTCCCCCCTTTTGACAAAAAATCCCTGGATCTGCGCCTGATTTGTTACACATATCAAGTACTTAATCAGACTAACTAAAATTAAAAAGATCTTTCTATTTGTTTTATTGCTTTATATAAAGATAAGACTTTCCTGTAAATTACACAATTTAAATCAATCACGTTTCAAAGATATTAGAAATTTAAAACAATAACTGATTTATTTACCGACCCCGCATCTAAATAACAGAGAGTTTAAAGTCAATTTAAGTATGGAAACATGAGGTTATTCAAGCTCAAAATCGGTGAAAATTAAATAACATATATCATGTTTATCTACACTCAATCTCGTGTTTTTATTTTCTAGCTCAGATACGCAATATATAGCTTTAAAATCCAGGATTTTTTTAATTCCTCAATGCAAGGTTCAAAATTTTACTATATACACTATATTATAATAGCATAATTTAAGTGCACACTTAAGATTGATACTTTGCTTGATGGGATTATATTTCCGCGAAGGAAAGTAGTATCTTGTCCACTTAACAGAAGGAGCTACCAAACTATAGGATACAAGTGGATTTTTCCTTAACATTTTATTAAAATTAATTTTACTTAATATACATTTGTAAGAAGTGACTTATGAGCAGGGCATGGATTCTGCCATTTTCTTTGTTCTTGAATGTTTTTCCCAATTAGGTCAACATACATGTACTTTACATTGTACCTCTCCCACTGCTAATTTTCCAAGATATTTTTGATTTAAAATCATATCATCATTGGATATTTTTAGACCAAATATCATCGTACATTACCAGGAGTTTTTTAACAGATATCAAATGATGAAAATCTTTAGGGGGTTTTTAAGAAAAATAAACAAAAATATAGTTTTGGTTGGTATTTCCTCAAGTACAGCATTACAAGGGATCATAAAAATTGTATTATACCTATATATATATATATATATATATATATATATTGAAGGGGGGGGGGGGGGGGGCAAGCAACGTCTAAATGAATGAATTTTTGCGTATCCAAACTTGAGCCAAAAAAACTATTCTCAGAAAAAATGGAGAAAATGGACAAAAATTGGAGCCCCCCCTCCTGACACCTTCCCCCGCGTATAACAGGCTTGTTCATTGTCTAATGAATTGGTCGATCGATGTTTGGAAATCTTTGATGAATCAAAGTTGTAAGCTATCAATTAAAGCAAAATAATAAAAATCGATGTTAAAATTACTATGTAAAACAACTTAAGTTGATATTTTTTTTAATATCGTACATATTTCTGCTTTTCAAAATGGAGAGATTATGAAGGATTAATCACCCTGTCCATTTTAAATTTCATAATCATGCATTCTTTCGGCAAGTAACAATTAATAAATATTAGGGATGTCAACGAGTACCCGGTTAACCGGGTACTCGATCGAACGCCCGAGTATCGAATACTAAAATCGCTACTCGGTTACTCGGATGTATATTTTTTTCATATTTCATCGAAGTTCATATATTTATTAAAAACTTATCAAAAAATGTTATTTAAATCTTATGCATTGTCCCTGTCTATAAAGTAATTAGCGTTACCTACGCCGAGTTAATATCCGTTATCGCCTGTGGCTATGTACATGTACATTCAGTAATTACCGTGACCAATCACTGGACATCGTACACAGCTGTTCTCACCTCTTGCGACCCTAATTTTTGGATGGCTTCAATTATTTGTTTTCAATGAACATCATTTAATTATGATCTATTAATTATCCTTATATAGATTATTTCATTAGCATCGGGCATAAGTTATTAGAAATCGAATTAGAAATTAGAAATCGGACATAAATAGAAATACCGCTACCAATTCAAAAGTGAAAACTGTAAAGAATTAATTTTGTAATTATTGGTGTATTAATTGATCAATACATGTCTTTCGTGTTTGTTTGATACATAAATCAAGTACCCAAAAATTCATTTTCGTTGGGCTCGATGTTTATGTACATGCATTATAAACGAAAGTAAACATCGATGGGGTAAACAAGTCTCGATAATATCAATAAACTTTTACAAGTATACACACTTTTTCCGAGTACCCGGGTACTCGATCGGAAAATCGTCCGAGTAACCGATTATCAAATATTGACCGATTTGACATCCCTAATAAATATTATACAATAATAGAAAAGTATATATATTTTAATCTTTACATCGTCATAAACCCTGCAAAGTTCTTCCTATGCCGTTTTGGGGAAAAAACTAGCTCCTAGCTATCGAAATATTCCGGTTTTGTTTTATTTATAGTATAAGTACATGTAACTTTAAACACATAAACCACTTTTTTTGGTTGCATGTTTAATTGTTCAGTCTTTTTTTAAATCAGAAAATACCTCTAAGCTATTGTCTTAATGGGTAAAAATTTCAAGATTTTGGCAGAAATTTTAATTATTTAGTTTATGTCAAAAAAGCCCCCCCCCCCCGTTCTATCCAGTTTGCCTCCCCAATGTCAAATACTTGCCGACGCCCCTGGAACAATCTAAATAGAAACACCCTGTGTGATGGGGAACGATCTAAATAGAAACACCTGTGTGATAGGGAACAATCTAAATATAAAGGTCCTGTGTGAGGGGAACAATCTAAATAGAAAAACCCTGTGTGAGAGGAACAATCTAAATAGAAACAACCTGTGTGATGGGAACAATCTAAATATAAAGGTCCTGTGTGATGGGGAACAATCTAAATATAAAGGTCCTGTGTGATGGGGAACAATCTAAATATAAAGGTCCTGTGTGATAGGGAACAATCTAAATATAAAGGTCCTGTGTGATGGAGAACAATCTAAATATAAAGGTCCTATGTGATGGGGAACAATCTAAATATAAAGGTCCTGTGTGATGGGAACAATCTAAATATAAAGGTCCTGTGTGATGGGGAACAATCTAAATAGAAACACCCTGTGTGATGGAGAACAATCTAAATATAAAGGTCCTGTGTGATGGGAACAATCTAAATATAAAGGTCCTGTGTGATGGGGAACAATCTAAATAGAAAAACCCTGTGTGATGGGGAACAATCTAAATATAAAGGTCCTGTATGATGGGGAACAATCTAAATAGAAAAACCCTGTGTGATGGGGAACAATCTAAATATAAAGGTCCTG